ACTTGGCTTTGGCAAGATGGCTTTTGTAGATTATAATCTACAAAAGCCATGTGGAAGGAAATGCATTCAACACGTTGGTTAGGCCTCAAAGATAGACACAGTGGGTTTTGGTAAGAAACAATAGATGTAAACTTGTTTGTTTTCAAGAAAACTCCACGGTTCCCTTTGAGTTAGCAATGTTTCCCACAAGAATAATGACATGGAAACTTTCTATTTTTGTGCCCATTAGATGTTGAACTATCTGAAATATCTATCATTTCTTGTTAATAATATAACTACTATTTTTATTGTCTTTGGTTGATAAAGCCAAACGGTGAGCTAATTTTGTTTTGCGTATCCACAGGGACCAAGAGGGACAGCAAGCAGGACAATCGTCTGTACATCAACCTACCCCCCCACAGACAGGAAGAGGTGGAGTGCCTCCTGCAGGAGGGAGGGGGCCGGGGGTGGAGGCAGCTGGGCGCAGCACTGGGCTACGAGTCTGAACAGCTAGACCTGTTTGGGCGCGGAGAGGCCCCCGCTCACACACTCCTCTCTAACTGGACCCAGAAAGAAGGCTCCACTCTGGGACTGCTGTGTTCTGCTCTGGCCCGCATCGAGAGGCCTGACGTGGTGACGGTTCTTAACTGCCCCACGCAGGGTGTTTCTGTGGTCTGAAAGCTTTTCAGACACACGTGTGACAGTCACAGACTCAAGTGAAGAACTTTGATTGAAATGACAAGGGAGGCACTCTTCATATCAACATCTGTCACTGTTGGAGACTGCCACTGACAGTTCTTATTGCTTTGATGGACACTTATTATCTTTTTTTACTAAGACAACAAAAAATATTCTAATAACACTTTACCCCAGTTTATTTCACTATTTGATTTTACATGACTCCAACTGCATGAGAGATTCTCCTGCGATGTGTCTGTTATCGCTACAGAGACGGATCACCAGTAACTAGGGGAAATGAAAATACTTACACTGAATATAATACAATGACTGAATATACACTATGTTGCAGCCTCTCAATTCCAGCAGTTTTCTGTTCTTGTTAAGCCTCAGTCACGTGCTTAATGGGCACTGTGGGATCCTGGCCAGATTGGATTAGACCAATAGTGACATCCACATACACTACAAGTGGCAGGAAGCGGAATAATGTGTTTACAAGTGCTGCATGAGTGTGATGTTTTAAAAACCACTGTTTACTTGATATTTGGACAGTAAGCAGATTTGTCCCCTGCTCCATCAAAAGGAAATATTCCCTCCGTGTGCTATTACATGAAAAACAATCGTGGACAGTTTAGATCATTATGTTTCTAGTCTGGCAAGCCTTTTTTTATGAATCACAACTTCAGCAGCAACTTTGGTATTGCTGTTGATTTTTGCCAAAAGGAGATGGTTTCTTCCAACAACACTGCTTTAGAATATGATGGGACTTTCCCGATGTGGGTTCATTTTTATGTACATGTGCACGGTTTAAAAAAAAAAAAAAAAATTAGACAAAAACCCAACCAAGAGTTTACATGGCCAGGTGATCAGATTTCTCTAGTAGAAATTGAGGGTCAAATCTTCTTAACCATCCCGATGATGCTTTCAGTTGTTATTTTCTTTATAAGAACACTTTAACTATTGTGTAGATACTCACTAGGCTATTTTTTTTTAATTTGTCGCCCCGTTCTGTTGTTTTTTCTTCTTTTTTCTGCTGCAGCCACGAAGTAGCCTTGGTATTTATTTACACTGAGGATATATTATGCACCAGTGATGTTTCAAATCTCATCAGAGGACGTATATGAATACGTATATAAAAACACCTTTCTTAGCTCTTCCTAATAATCACCTATGATTGTAAATATCTTAAATATTGATTTGTTTTGATAAGTCATGGCTTAAAGTGAGATCATTTATGAACTGTGAAGATAGAAGAAAAGGAATAGAAATGAATCTATTCTTCTTACACAGCTCTATTTCTATCAAAATTATTTCTTGTATTAGACAGAAACAAAAACAAACCAAAGACACCATTAATATCAGCCCTTGTGTCCATCTTGCTTTTGTATTTATTTTACCACTATTTCAAGTCTAAATCTAAATAAAATCTTTGAGAACATCGGCGATGTGGTAGTTACACTATGAGACGGCCTCAAATGGTTTGATATTTTTTTACGCCAGCCATGTATGGTTTTGTGTATATATTTCCTAATGGTATGCCTCTGTGTTTTTGTAAGAGTTTTATTCATTGAATAAATAACTTTGATAAGTCAATGCGCTTTTGTTGTAACAGGACTTCAAGTGTAGCATCAGTTGCTTGGAGGTATCTGATTGCGGAGTAGCTCAATTAATTTGAAAAAAAATTTAAAAAATTAAAAAAAAAAAAACTTCAATTACAATTTAAATAAAAAAAAATAGACTGTATATATTCTAATATTGTGTCAGTTGTAATGCCTGAACATGTTTTTAGAGTGCCTGAAAACTAGTTAGGAAGCAGAGGGAAAAGTTGAAAGAGCTAAAAACAACGGCTAAATGCTAGCTAAAATTTTTGGATAAATGTGATATGTAAAAGCAATGGATTAACTGTTGAATAGCTGAATTAAGTAATGGAAAAATGGTGTGAAATTGCTTAACATAATGGATGGTGAACTAACTAAAATGTATGGATAAATTGTTATATCTGAAAGTATTGGATGAATGGCTAAATAACATGGATAAATAGTGAAATAGCTAGAAGTAATTGATGGCTAAAACAGCTAAAAGTAGTGGATAGCAAAATGAATTTAAGGATAAATGGTTGAAATAAATAGGCTACTTAAGCTCATCCGACAAGGTACAATGGACACAAAAGGTTCAACAGACCTCAATAGTTTGATTAATACTTTTATTTTTAGGTGTCTTTGTGTCACACCTCCCATAGACCCTAAACAATTACCATCTTAATATAAAAGCTGCCATTGCATATGTACTTCAGATACTGTGTTATATGCCTTTATAGTTATAGCAACATTAAACTTTTTTCACCACATGGCAAATACCTTCTTGAAAATATGAAAATTATTGCTGAACTGTACTACAACCGCAGTCCTATAAACATTTCTGTCACTTACAGTTAAGTGTAAACCCCACTTGATGGATTGCACACTGTGGAAGCTTGGACATATTTGGAATATATTACCCCATATCAAGGGATTTAGTGTATAAGAACATTTCCTATCCAAAACCCTGAGGGAAATCAGTTAAGAGGTATTTAATAATTTGAGGGTGAAATAAAAATAAAAACTTGATCCCAAATATTGTGGAGGAAAGTTTTCTCTTTCTCTCAGAGACACAATCTCATTCCTGCTCCCACTCTGCTCTGAACTCAGATCTGTTAATGATCTCTTTGCCTTCAGTTTTAAGTGGGAGCAGGCATCTTGCATGGCCTAGGGCAGCGTTACATGCCGTCAGACACTCCAGACGGGACTGCTTAACTGCGGTCTGGAGCACACAGGCATTGGGCTACGGAATGTGCATACACTGAGAGGGGGGTTGGGACAGAGGAGAAAGGGGAAGCACAGCAGCGCCTCTCTCCACTCGTCATGGGTCTCCATATTTAGAGTGCACTTAACATCTCTAATGAAGGCAGTCGATCACTTTGATTCCCTTTACAGGGGCCAAACATCTGGCTCAACACTGTGCGTATGTGCGATAGTGGCATTCATGCCATGTGCACCCCTTATTAGAGGAGTGAGACAATCTAAAATGGGATTGGGTACGCACTCAGCTGTTAATCATGTAAGAGAGGTCAGTCACATTTGCTTAGATCTGTTCGAGTCTATTTAACTGAAACCCGAGAGAACGCAACTCAACTGCACGGCAGGGACATAATTTTACAAAAAAGTTTATTATCTTTTAAAATGTTTGTACACTCGGTATGACAATGTGCTTACACAATACTTACAGTAGAGTAGGGTGAAACTTTGTACATAGAAAAATAATAACAAAAAAAAGAAATAAAGAAAACATGAAAATCTCCCCCACCACTGAAATAAAATAGAGGGCTGTGAGTCAGTGGGGTCCTAAGTTTGACGGACTGATGTGGTAACTGCATCAGGAGGGCTGAGCTGGTGAGGATGGGTGGGCTCACTGTGCTCCCTGACCCTAGTCTCCTGTGTGCAGCTTTGATAATTTTACACATTATTTACACTTTAAATCATGAAATGATAGTCCTTTTACAAAGTGTCTGCTTATTTAAACATTCCCAAAACTATTATTCAATATATTCACATATAAAGCAATGTACATATGTTGGAACTTTGTTTAATGCAATTTAATAGGCTGCAACAAATTGGTAACCTAATGCTAATGAGACTACCTTGACCACTGTAAAACTTGGAAATAAATGTGTGACAGTTTGTGGAGCGACCTAAGTGTCTCTAACGTCTAACTAGGACCAACAGTGATAAAAAAGCCAGAACACACAACATGTTTAGAAAATGTTAAAACTTCAATGCTACAACCTTAATTTTCAGCATCATTCCTGTGAGAAGAGGAAACAGAGCAGAACAAGTTGGGAAAGGAGTTGGACAGGAAATGAGGAAAAATTTGACACACAGCTAAACAGCACATCAAACATAGCATTCAAACCCTGCTCCCGTTATTATACATAAATCGATAAAAGACATGGAAACATTAATCTCTAACCCCTTTGCCAACCTGCTAGTCACTAGCTGATCCCTAAGTGTATTGTGAGTAAAAGCTTGTCCCGGTAAGGGCATATTTCTTGAAGCCAGAGACATGAAAAATGAAGGAATTTCCATAAGGATACCACTCTGACCTCAGCCTATATCATGCATCCATAAAACAACAGAGGCTCCAAAGTCTTGTGGTTAAGAAAGGCAGGGTTTGAGGAGTGGAAGCTTGGACCTCCACAGCCCAGTTAAAAGCAGCACCAGATACAGAGTCAGTGGCAGGGGGATTGGTTGAAGCGTGCACAAGAAAATGGGGGGCGCGGGTGGGACGGTGGGGCCCGCTGTACTGCTTCTGTTATTGATCCATTTTTTTAACAGTGGAAAGTAACAAAGAAATTTGATGTGTATGATACCAAAGCTGATTCCGTTGAGTAATCCTCATTCAGGGCTAGAAGAGTTTAAAAAGTGGAATTGAGGTGATCATCTCGGGAACATTTAAGAGCCACAAATGGGAAAAAAAAAAAAAAAAAAAAGCTAAAAATCAAACGATCAGTGAGAACATTAGTCTCTATAGCACCCCTCAGTGTCGTCCATTGAAAACACTGCACCTGGAGTCTCGGGTCGTTCAGCAGCACTCGAGTCTCCGACAGTCTCTAGTATGGGGCTCCTCCATGATCCATGGGGCCTGGAGAGCTCCTGTGCAGTGCAATTCTTAGTTATAAATACAGGTAAGAAACTACTTCACGGTTCAAGCTGGCCAGTTCATACATGTAGGAGTGAATGGAAAGGCAAATCTGTGCTTCTCCTGTGTTAACACAGAGCAAGTATAACATCTGTGGCCTCTGAGGCTAGTACACCTCTGTGTCCTCCTTGGGCCTGTATACAGAGCCAAATCTCTGCATGTACTTCTTGATGTACTCCTTGGTCTTGTGCTTCACATTCTCGTTACACTCGAGGTCCTCAGGATTCTTACAAGCTTTCAGCTCCTTATTCATAACTCCATGAGTCAGCTGGAAGATTGAGCAGAGATGAGGAGTTAGACATGTTTCTTGTCACCAGACTACAGTAAATTATATAATTACAATGTATATCTAAGTTGTGGCAGAATGGGTGGATGGTTAATTCTCTTTTAGTGACTTTGCCCTTTGTAATTGGAGACAGTAAAACACAATCTCTAAATGAGTGAACCCCAGCTTGTTTTTCTGTTTATTGTGCCCATGTCCTCAGAGTCATGGCATGTCCGAATTGTACTCAGTGCAAACCACTCCCCACATACACAATCCATGGACCGACTGGGAACCATAGAAAAAAGAATGTTGTCCTTTGAAGAAATGCTGGTTGCAAAGAGTTTTTCGAGAGGAATGAGTAAAACAAAAGAGAGGCAGATAATAGTTTACATGTACAATATGTTCTTAGTCTCTTGCAGAGACAGAATACAAAAACATTTGGCTGGAGAAAGAAATCGTGGGAGCTCAACTATTTAGTTCTGGTTTGAGGGAAACTTTGAAAACTTTTCCTTTTAAGTTAAAAGCTGACCAATACTCTCATTGTGCTCTCACCATGTAGAGGCCGGTGAAAGGTTGCAAGCTTCTCGGGGATTAATGGAAAAACTAACCGCGTGTATAAACATCTTACTGCTTAATCGTACCTTTCTAGCCAGGTGTTTGAAGTCTTCGGTGTTGCTGATGCGTCCCAATTTGCAGTCTGGCTTCCGATAAGGATTTAAACATTGCACGATGAACTGGGACATCTGAGTAACACACACAAAAAAAGACATGTAAAGAGAAGAATATGTCAAAACAAATTAGAACTTGCATGGATGGATAGAAGACATTCCCTTCAGCGTAGGCAAAGGTGTAGAGGTCTAGAAAATTTAAACATCTGGAGTTAAATAACATTGTTGCAAACACTGTTTGCAAAGACTGCGGCTTACCTCTTTCCGAAATGTCTCTTTACTCTTTTTAGCCAGTTCACTCGAAGTGTCAGCTTCAGCTGTCTTCGTGGAGAACTGTATCAACATAATAGCAGAGTGAAATGATTTGATTAAAATGCTTGTTTGCAAACAAACATAATTTGTTTCACATTGAACCCTTGGCTTTGAAAGTGTAACGTGTCACAAACAAAGTCTCATCAAATTCTACTTCTTTCATCAGACTTTTTCTTAGCTATAGGGGAAGACAGCATTAACATGTCATACAGACATCATTCAGCCGAGTAATTTCTCTGCAATAATAACCACAAGTGAGGCTCCACCTGTGCACCAGCTCAATCAAACATGGCAACTGGCTGCAGAACAGTAGCTATCAAGGTCAGTGGGGCATCAAACAGCACCTGCTCAGCAGCTACTTGACAGAAAGCAGGGATATCCTGCCAGGATGCTGACTCTCCAGCCTCAGCCTTCAACAACAAAGGCAAGCAGGCAACAGCTGACTGGCTGCACCGACAACAAAGTGGTGAGGATCAAAAGCAAGCACAAAGGTTTCACACACACAGTGCCAGGGACAAACAACCAGAAACAGTAAAACTGAACCATGTACAAGCAGGGCATATGCCATATTTTTAATGCTGGACATGGACACCACCACTGTGTAAACACATGCTGGGAAATGGTCCATGACCTTGAAGCTGTACTTGGCAGAAAACTTTGCATAAAAACATGGATCTCTACATTTCAGTTTTGATGTTTGTTTTTTTTTTTAAACTGTTACGTCTAAAAAAGACAAAAGGGACACTTATATAGTTAAGAAACCGCAAATAAATGAATGCTAGGTCTTCCAGATGGTTTTTATTATCCTCAAAGTTAGGATAAAAATGAAGAGGGAAAACAAACGAGGCAGAGGAAGAGGAGATGAGCAAAGCCACCCCTCCCTGCATGGCCTTGAGGCTAAGGGACAGACAGCTGAGCAGGGGGGTGGGGTGAGTGGATTCTCTTTTCAAATCTCAAGCCTCTATGTAGATTCTGATGAGGCCATTTTGCGAGGAGTCATCTGCGAGAACATAAACAGTCACTGAATGTGGTGTTGTGCTGATGTTTTTTTTCTTTTTTTCCTCCTTGAGACACATCTGAGAGTAATCACTAGTGCAGCATCTTCAATTACCTCAAGGAACAAACACTATAATCATGTTCTGCATCCAAGCACAAACTTTCTGGGGAACCAAACAAAAAAGTGAAGATGATTCTTCGTCATTGTCAAATGAAGGAACATAGTTTTCTCTTCACTGTTTTTCTTGTATACAAAAAAAGGTCCGGTGCACAACAACTACACACATTTAAGGTTTCATAAGACACTAAAAACGATAACTAAAAGCTCACCTTGGAAGGATTCTCATCATACGTGGGTGTTCCCAGGTCCATTTCAGATTCATGGTCCACACTAGTGTTGTCGCTACTTCCCTCCCAGGTTGGAGGGTCCCACTGTGTTTGCCTGACAGGCAGAGGGAAGTAATGTGACATAAAGATACATACAGGGGCTGTTTATAGGCACAGACACACACTGCATAGACGCATCGCTACCTTGTGACAATGTGGTAGTAGTAGATCTTCCCTTCAGGGTCTCGAGCCACTTTCCAATTGGGAGGTAGGACGATAGTTTTGGGTTTAGGGGGAGAGGGAGGAGGCAGGTCTATCACATTGTTGGGTACAATCATTTCCTAGAGAGGAGAGAAGAAATAGAAAAGAAGCATCAGTAGCAAATCCATATAGCTTCACTTCTAAGTACCAACAATTTCTTTCGGGTTTAGCTAAGAGAAAAAACCCAATTCAGGCTACAAGGTTAATGATTGTAGTTGTAGGTGAGTGTCACTTTGATTGTTATTTACAAATGGGGCCCACTGAACCCTTTCTTTTATTTGTTCTTAAGGCACTTTGTCATTATATGAGACAGGTCTTAAGAGTTGCATAATTTAAATGTCTACTACCCCCTTGTGGTCACACTGAGACATCAAAACCTCATGTAGCAAAGGTGATTTGTAAAGATGTCAAAGACCCTTGAAACTGTGATGTCAACTTCATAAAAATCGCTCCAGCTTTAAATCAGTTCAACTTAAATGCAACCTCATGCTGCCAAAAAACATGAATCCCAAACAAAACCGTGAAATATATACCCTACCTCTCTGCCCCTTTTACTAAATCAAAACCACCTCACCTCTCCTTTTCTAATATCCTTTTGGGAACAATTTTGAAATATCCCTCACTGTGTTTTGCCTCATTCTCCCGTTTCAACTAGGAATACATCACATTGCAGAAGCAAAGACACAAGTTTAAACAGCAGAAATCGTCAGTCAGAGATTAGAGATTAGGAGTAGATTTGTTTTCATTCCAAATGCTTGAGAAAATAGATGGAACTTGTATGCATTACCTGTTGCACAGTTTGGGATGTGACAATGGTGGTGACTGTGCCTCCCTGCTGCACCACCACTCCCTGTTGATGGCCGGGATACACCGGCTGGCCATGCAAGTAGCTGGCTGTGGGTTCAGTGTACGCCTTCAGAAACACAAAGTACAACCAGATCAGACAGGTACTCTATGTATTCCAGATATCTATCAAGTACAGTTGTGCATGTACTGCATTGCATTGGGTTGGGTTGTAGCATTCAATAAAAAATTAACTACATATTGTGGATTCAAATTTTATATAGTGTAAAAGTGTCTATTTAATGCAAAACATTCTATATCTATGTACACCCTTAATATGAGGTACTGTATTTCTTACATTAATGACAAAAATAAATGAATCTCTGCTTTTCAACACTGATTATTATAGAATATGAGTACAGTAAACTTCACAGTGGATATTGGACCCACACGAGGAACCCCTACCTGTATGACTGGAGTGTTAGCCTGAGGGTAGGCGGTGGGGATACTGTAGATGGTTTGGCAAGGCTGGCCCTGGTAATAGATGGCTGTCTGTGTCTGGGCTTGTGCTGGAGCTGGAGCTGTGGCATACTGCTGTGCTGGCTGGGTCTGCACAGTCACTGCCTGCTGAGTGGCAGGGTCCCAGAGAGTGGTGTAGCTCTGCTGGCTCTGTACCTGAGGGGCCGTCTGGGCTGGTACAGAGAGGACAGCTACACCTGCGTCCTGAGTTGCTACAGTTGGCTGGGCATACTGCTGGGGGTTTCCAGCTGCGAGGTTGGTGGTGGTGATGTGCTGAGAGAGATTAGAGACTGGAGTGGCTTGGGAGGTGGAGGATGGAGAGGTAAGTCCCAGGTCTGAGATAAGTCGCTGAGGAGGAGTCTGTTCATAGTTCATGGTGGGTTCAACTGAAGGGGTAGGGAGCAATACTTTGCCTGCATTGGGGTTGGTGGGATCCACAAAGGTCTGAATAGGATATCCGGGGGGGTAGGTTATATAGCCAGGGCTGGAGGCATAGGCCAGAGCAGGGTCATAAGCCATAGTTTGAAGCTGCTGCTGCTGCTGTTGTTGAAGCTGTTGTTGTTTCTGGGCTTCCCTCTGAGCAACCTCCTGCTCGAACAGCTTTCTGCGCTCCTCTGTGGACAGTTTGTTGCGCTCCTTGCCACTGACTCCTCTCGGTGTCTTGTTGCTGTTAGATGGGTCAAACCTTGAAAATTCAGAGAACAATACCACAGCTGAATACCAAAACTTTACCATGTTATGCAGTATACAAAAGTATTCACTGCTCATGGAAGACACTTCACAGTGTTTCCCCCAGGGACGATAATTCTTACCGTTCTTCAGTGCGTCGACTGCTCCTTTCATAGGATGATGGTGGAGACACAGAGCGTCTCCTCCGTCTCTCAGTGCTGCGGGGAGTTTTGTCAGAGACTCGATCTCGATCACGGTCCCGGTCCCTGTCTCGGTCACGATCCCGGTCACGATCCCGATCCCGATCCCTATCCCTATCTCTATCCCGATCCCGATCCCGATCTCTGTCTCTGTCTCTGTCCCAGTCTCGATCTCGATCTCGATCTCTGTCTCTGTCTCTGTCATAGTCTCTGTCTCGTTCCCTCTCCTTCTCTCGCTCCCTTTCACGTTCTCGGCTCCCAGAAGTGTTGCGTGGTGTCAAAGCTGTGTCTCGATCTCGGCTGCGATCTGTGAGAAAATCAAATCAGTCCAAACTGTATGGAAATAATTCTGTGCCAAAAATCAGCAATGAACTAACTTACCATTTGCTTCCTTTTCGACCTGACTCTTCTTTGGTATTCTGTACACCTCCTGAAAGGACAAGCATAACTTTGACTTCAAACTTCAGATTACAATACCATGCAAACAGATTACAAACAGAAAATGGGTAATACTTTACATTTTTATACATGTTTGACAATGTCTCACCTTTAGATCCTTCCAGCTATCCAGAAGCCTGGCAGCCATGCCGCTAATGTCCAAAGTAGTGAGCGGGGGCTCCTGACTCCTCTCACTCTCCACATCTGAGACACCTTCCTCTTCATCCTGAGAAGGAGTTCCTATCACTGATGGGTCCACAGGGGCCACTGTGACCTCAGAGGGCATACTGGCTTCTGGGATCTCAGAGCTTGGGGGAGCATCAGTGGTAGATTCACCAGGTTGCACTTCACTGTCAAGAGGAGCCTTCTCAGGCTCTTGTGTCTCTGCCTGTGCTTCCATCTGCTCTGAAGGCTGCTCAGGTGGAAGTTCAGAAACACCTGTTTGGATGGACTGACTCTCTGGCTCAAGAACTTTTACAGCAGACTGGTCACTTTCCAGTTCAGCCTTTTCTGTCACTGCCAGACTGGCCTGCTCCTCCACACTCTCCTGTTCCTCGCCAGTCTCCTTTGACTCCTCAGGTTCATCCTTCAGACCCTCACTTGTGTCCTCTTTCATCTCAGTGTCCTTCTTCTCCAAATCCAACTCCACTTTGTCTTTCTCCTCCTCAGTTTGAGGTTGGGGCTGAGTGCTAGAACTCATCCCTGCCTCTTCCTGTTTCTCCCCTTCGACCTCTTTCTCTGACTCTTCCATCGCATCTTTTGTTGGATCTGTGGCTTCACACACTGGGTCTGCCTTCAACTGTTTGCCGTCAGGGAGTCCTGCGTGTGAGTTTTCATCTTCCTCCTCATCATCATCTTCCTCCTCCTCCTCCTTCCCATCAGATGCTTTGCTAGCATCAGAGAGTGCACTGTCTAGACTGTTTTCACTGATGATTTTAAGGCGGCGGTACACAGCAGGTTTGGAGGTGTCACCATCTAATTCGGGTCCCAGTTTGGTGGAGGAACCATCAGGAGTGTTGAGGGGTGTTTGAGCACGGGAGGTGTTCTCACTGGAGTAGCCATCCATCTCAGCAGGGTGAGGGAGAGTTTTTGTTTGGGCCCATCGCTGAATGAAGGTCAGGACTCTGCTCTCTTCCAACATGTTCTTAGTTGAGATGGGAAGCACAGCCAGCGTCTTCATGATCTGTGAGCAAAATATATAATCAGTGATCAAACAGCAAATAGCTGTATATATGACCATACAGGCTTTGAGGGATTTAATAATTTAAACACATTATGGGTGAGATAATAAAAAAAAAAAATCAATGACATAATTCACCTCTAACTGCAATTTGATGTTGTTTGCACTGTTGCCTTTGGCTTCAGAAAGCTCCACCATGAAGATCCACAGCAGAGACAATCCATGATGGTCCAGGAACTGCTTCAGGCATGATGGATTTTGAGTATCCTGTGTAAAACAAGCATATTACCTACTGCAAATGACAATAAGAAGTAAGGTCTCAACATTCTAGCTAAATCATAACAGGAGAGTAGTGCTAACTATTTTGTGAAACTAGTCGTTAATCACTCAGGTCATACTTGTATGAGCTTGAGACAGATGAGTTTCTGCTCCATGGTCTCCACTCGGACCATTAGTCTGCAGAGAGACACCACCTGTTTCTCATCATACAGGCCTTCTCCATTCTCCAGTAGCGCCTCCAGTTCCTCATCAACCTGTGGAAGGACAATATGGGTATATATAGGTTATTATTGAGAGTGTTGTTAACACATTTCGGCATGTATTAATACAATTTACAACTGACATCATGATGGCAAATACGTAATGGTAATGACATGGGAGTACAAGTTACTGTTATTGTGATTAGCCCTGTTTAAATACATTACCATTATTACAATTAACCATTTTACCATACTAAAAAATCAAACATTACTAGGCTCTAGTAGCTTGTGATGGGCATTAGTACTTTTTAATACTACAATATTCTGTCTTTTGTGTTTGCAAATAATTGCTCTCCAGACAGTTCACATTTCAAACAGATGACAGAAAGAATTTCAAATATGACTGGAAGAACTGACCGTGGTGAGAGCACTCTTTCGACTGCGGTCTTTCTTCATCTTCCCTCCAGCTGCTCGAACACTAACTCTGTTCTCTCCACCCAGGAAGCCTCTGCAGCTGGGTGCGCCACAGAAGCATTTCTGTGCTTCTTTGCTGGAGGGTTAAATAAAACAAAGGTGAAATCACCAAGATAAAACCACCAGTTTAATGGTTAAATAACCTCTTGTTATGTCCCCTAACTATGTGAACAAATAGAACATATCTACATCTATTGTTTTCACACATGCAATAAAAGCATAGAGAGCAGAAAATACAAGTTTGAAAAAAATAACTGCAGAGAAACGGTACCCGTATCTCTGGAACTGGTAATCAAATGTCAGTTCAGTCCCTGCAGTGACGGCCTTGGTGGTGAAGAACCCAACTCTAAGCTGGCCATTAACGGTCCACTGAAATGGGGTACAAAATTACCATCAGTTAATTCAGCTTTTAGCAGGGTAACCTGAAAAGTAATATCCAAGGGCTTTCTTTTGCCACTGTACCTTTTGGGTCTCACAGTTGGGCTCACAGCTGTGGTTCATGAACCGGGAGCAATTTCCCTTTAACGTTGCATCAATGATCTGAAGAGACATAATACAATGTCAAGTACTTCTGCCAGCTACTTTACCTGAGTCATTAGACCAGATTGCAGTTTAAATATGAACATTAAGTGCAATGTGTTGCACAATTTCTTACCTCATTATTTTTTAGAGACATGAAGTAGTAATGGATGTTCTTATTGCGAGCATATTCTTTCACTCTTGTTTTGAACTCCTTGTGGTCCAGCACCTCCCCGCAGTATTCCAGTACAAAGGTGTTTCTGAGACAGAAATAAAAACAAACCGGTTTGACGATCATCCTGTCTGTGTTTTCAACGATTACATTTCAAAACATTGACTTGCTCAAACATTGCATATTTTGTTTAGGATTGCAATTATTTTTTTAATGTACAAAAGGAAACAACATGAGCACCTTTATGATGTAGCCTACTATAATCCAACAGAGTAAGCAGCCACGAAATAACTACTTGTGTTGGAACCTTTCAATGTTAAATGGTAGAAAACATTTAAAATGTTGTACTGAATACTTAAAGAGGCTTACGAAGTCAAGTCTTTAGCTGCCCGTAGACCCCAGCCTTTGTCTTCTGTGAGGATAACTTCAAAGTCTGCATGTTGTTTCATCTGAAAGCGTCGATTAGAGCAGTAGACTCCATTTAAGCATCGTGATGAGCTGGAAAGAAGAAAAAATGTATACAAAAAAAAAAATGACAATGTTAAGGTCAAGCTCCAAAACATTTGTTGACAAAATCTGTAGAGTTAGATAGTAAACAAAATGATTGATACTGCCTCTTTTCTTGTCTTATTTGGAGCACCGTGTTACCAGATTTCCTACCGCTTAAGCATTATATTTACATTTACATCAACAAATATAATTTGTCAGGCTCTCGAAAATGAAATGAAACGGTATGTGAACAGTACTAGTCTATGGCCTTCTTTACTAATTGTGCAATCCTTTCAATACTAACGACTCAAAATGTGTTTGTTGTATTTTCGGGTTTGCCTCACCTATCCTAATCTCTTACATGTTGTGGTACAGCTTTAACAGTAATAATCAACTTACCACTCAATCATCAGCAGCCGATTTAAACAGTCTTCCCCACATGCCAATACTCCCCTTGAGCGCTCCTCTCTGGGCAGCACTGGGCACTCACACTGCATCCTCTTTATATCTCGATGAGATTTGCTTTTCTTTCTGCAAATAAAAGTTTAAAACTTTCAAAGCTCAAACCTGAAAGTATGTAAGTGTTTTCTTATGAGGTCGTTCATTGCTTAAACAAACATCGCTTATCCAGTCAGGCTGGATAACATCTTACCTCTCAGTCAAGTAGAGGTTCTCCTCAATCAGGTCAAAGTAAGGGGGCATCTTTTTAGACTTGGAATGCTCTTTCCATTTATTGGCATCTTGAAAGTCCTGCAGAGTGAGTGATGGACGTTGCGCCTCAGCTTTGACAAGAGTTTCCTTAGAGATGTCAATATCTCCTTGACGCTCCCTTTTGCCTGCAGGCCCAGCCTCTGCCTCATTGTCTGAATCTGACTCAATCTCCGGCCGCCTTTTCTTGGGAGGGCCTCTCCCTCTGTGGGGTCTAAAATTGTCTTCTCTAGGGGGGTCAGGCACAACAGAGCCCCTACTGTTGCTGCTTATTTCATGCCCTTGTACAAAGCTTGATGACCCTGCAGTGTTAGGTCCATTCCATTCAACAGCTGTTTTACTAAGATCTGATGGTTTATCCCCACTGTAGTCGTCATGGTCATTAGTTAGAGAGTCAGGATGGATTTCACCTGCTGGATCCTGATAATGTTCATGTGCATGGAGGTAAGGTTTTCTGCTAGTCTGCATGTTTGGGGATTGATGGTTCCAGATGGCATTATTCTGCCTGTGCTCCTGTCCCTTGGGAGAGTTTCCCACCAACTTAGTGTTTGTTAACTGTGGCCCATGACTGCTATCAGGCTGCTGGTATGTACTACTTGGCTGCTCTGTTTGCGAAAACTCCCAACCCAGGATGAATCCATTCTTGTCATTGATATTGTCAGCATTTGAGAAATCACCTTGTTGATAATGGGAGTACAGCCGTTCACCTCTGCTACTTAAAGTGTGCTGTTTGTGCCCTTGTTCACACTGTCTGGAATTATCAAGGCTGTGAGCAGGATCTGTGGCACTTCCATGGGCACTGATACGACCAGCCATGTAAGGCAGGGCACTGATGGTACTGGAACCCTCAGAGTGACTGGTGCTGTCAATCATATTGCTCTGGGATTGACACAACATACTGCTATTGGATGAGTTATTTACACCAGCAAATGGACCACTGGTCTCCCCAAATACAGTGGAAGGACTCTGTCTTTGTTGGGAGCTGACTTCATTTGGGACTTCATGGGTATTCATGTCAGCTGCTGTATTGGCATTGTGCAGTTCTGAAATATTCATAGGACTACAGGAAGCTCCCGTGTCCTTGGTATCCATTGTTAGGGAAGAATTCTTTGGCACCACCACCACAGAGTGCAATCGTTTTATAGCCTCACCACAATCGGAGTCGTACTCCGAGTTATCACTATCACTGCCCTCACTCTGTCCTCCTAATGCATCCTGATGAAGTGATGTTCTCTTACTCAATTTGTTTTTGTGACCGCTGTCCTTTGATGTTTCATTGAGGTCATTTCCATTCCAACTGTTAATCTTTGCCGCTGCATCAACCTGGGATGTATCATTTATGTGCAGAGGCTCATCTGTGTTTGTTTTTTGAGAAACAGTCAGTTTTAAGTCACAGTGGTCAATGCTGGTGCTTGCTCGTGAAGGCTCACTTTGGTCTTTGTATTTATCGATCATGGATGTGCTGTCTGAGCCGACCTCCTGCTTAGAGATCTCAGTCTGCTTTACCAGTGTGGAATGTGTTTCAGGTTCTGGTTGAATATTATCTTTAATATCAGAGTCTTGTTGGCTATTGTCTTTAGAAAACTCTATTTTTTTGACAGAGATTACTTTTTTAACAGTAGGCTTACTCTCTGCACTAAGCATCCTCTGTGAATTATCACTCTCTGAGGTGTCCTGCCCAACAATATCCCACCGGGACTTTTTGGTAGTACCGCCGCTCTTTTTAACGGTATCTATACTTTGTTGTCCACATGTGTGCTGGTTCTCAGGTTCAGGACACAGTGACTCCAATTTGAGTGGCATGCTTGTGTCAGACTGCTTCTCGACCATATTCAGCTCAACAGTCTCTTGTTTAGTGTTCTGCTGGACATTATGTGTAACAGGTACATCTGCTATATCAGGTGAGGACTTTGGCCCTGGCGAACAGCCAACAACTTTCTTTTCCTGGCTGTACACTATACTTTCAGTACTACTGCATGAATTTAAGACAGCTGCATCTGAGTTCACATGCGGTTGATTAGAAGAAAGGCTATCCTTCACATTGGTCAAGTTTTCCAGGGAAGCATTTACATGCTTTAGGCTTTCACTTGAGGTTATAGCTGAGGTATCTTTATTCTCAACTTCAAGACCTGATTTAGTTTCTTTTGCTCTTGTAGATGATGGTTCTTGCAAACCCTTTTCAGTACATGAAACTATCTCCTTAACATCCTGATTACCAAGTTCATTTCCATCTTGATGGGAATCTGATTTTTCTTTTTCACTCTGAGAACAAAGTTCTGTGGTGGTTGCACATGACGGTGCTTTGCTGGAACTGTGAAACATGTCATCTGATTGTCTATCATGTCCAGTGGTTTTCACAGAAGATCTAGAAGGGGTCATCTGTTTCGAATCTGGTCTACTGGTTTTCTTTAGGGAGTTTTTACTCTTCTCCTCTGAGCCAGAGCTTTTGTCAAAGCCCTGTGATGATTTTCCTTTATGATCTGCCTCAGAGTCACTGGAACTGCTTTTTTGGCATTTTTCATGTGTTTGAGAGTGGGTATGCATACTGGAAGAGGAGGATTTGTTGTTGGTCTCTGACTTGTGATGGATGCTAGGTTTACGGTAACTGGAGTCCAGATCAGGAGAGCACTTACGCTGTGAATCAGAGTCTGATAATCGTTTTGAAGTCCTTTCAGATTTTGATGATTGTGTTCTTTTATCTATCTCTGAAGAGTGAGGAGAATCTACAGATTTGGAGACTTTCTCTGATTTTGAGTAAGAGGATGATGATTTTGACTCTTTATGTGAGCTTGAATGGACAGACGATCTACTCGAGTCACTTGTCCTTGTCCTTGTTTTTCTATGGTCATCCTCAGAGTCAGAACTGTCCCGAGTTCTGTCAGTGCGAGAACGAGAACGTCTTCTCTCTCTGCGTGGAGAACTCCTGTGTGATCGCCGGTCAGAGTCATGATAGTATGACCTTTCAGAGCGTGATCCTCTGTCACCTCTGGACCTCTCTGATCTGGAGTGAGATGAACTTGTTCGAGACCCTCTTGATCGAGACCGTGATCTAGACCTGGACCTTCTTCGATCTTTGTCTGATCGAGCCGAGCGTGATGATGTGTGTCTAGAATCACGGTCTGATTTGGAGTAACTAGAAGACCTTTCGTGATTCTCTGACCGCTTTGAGCAACTTTTTTCCTTCTCCTCCACATGTGAACCAGAGGAAGACTTTTTTACCTCTTTGCTCCTGCTGTCAGAGTTTGTTTTACTTTTGGAGTCAACTGATTTGCAACTGGAAGACATCTGGACTGAATCTCCATCAGATTCTGAGCCAGGGGGCGCACTATTAGACTGGGACCTGGTTTTCCTTTTGTATACCTTATCCTGCTCAGTACTGCTGGAAGTCTCTCCATCTTTTCCTGAGGAAGCAGCGGGCTTCTTGAGGCTTGGGGTTACCCTCATCTCAGAGGCTTCAATGTGAGCATTCTCAGACGGGCAGACATCAACGACATTCTGAGACTGGGGTGTTGGGAATTCAGTTGCACTCTTACTTGCTGACTTCTGCAAAAACTGCAATTCAGAGGAAAGCTGCTCCTCTGGCATAAAAGATGTTGGTTTCTCTTCAGTCACAGAGACACTGAGAAGTTGCTTCTTGAAATGCATCTTTGCCAAGTCTGGTTTCAGTTTAGTGGCTGAGGAGACTGGTGTTTGAGAAGGTGTCTCTGCTATTGATGTTGGCACCACAGGTGTCTGCTTTTGTTCAGTTTTGCTGTCTGTACTCTGCCCTCCTTTGTCTGAGACTGACTGTGACAAGGCAGCCTGAGGTTCGGCGACGGTCTTGTCAGGGCTGGCAGGGATGAAGAACAGGCTCTGCAGTGGCTTCTTGGTATGTGAGAAGCTGAAGGACACTTTCTGACGACCCTGATCCTCTAGGTTGACCTTCGTCTTGGTCCCTTTAGGCAAGAGATGGTTGGACAGCATCACTCTGGGAGACAGGCTTTTCATTAGAGCTGCCTTGGATAGGCCTTCAACCTTTACCTGCAATAATAGAAAAAAGAACACAAGTATGTGAAATTAGACATAGGGGTTGTATCATAACAAATGTTGCTAAATTGCTCACTAGCTTTGTGTTAAAACTTACCGAGGCACCACTCCCCTCCTCTCTGTGGTTACATCAGACACCATGGGAACATGAAAGAGAGAAAAGACAAATCAATTTGCGCAGTTCATATAAAAGTAGGTAACAACTTTAAGATACTCAGGGAAGATAAGAGAAAACAATTCTCAAGGTAACCTTGCTGGATGTGAACATGTCCCTCTTTAATTCTGTTTTCCCTTGTTTTCCCTGTTCTTAAAGTGCAAAAAGCCATTTATACAAAGAATAAGCATGCTTGAGATTTGTCTCAGAGTTTAAACTAGGAAATACTAATAGAGTGCATTTTTAAATCATCTCAACCATTTCATCTAAACCACTTTCATTTTTTTTGTAGTTTGCGTTTTTGAGTTTGACAGGAAATAGGAGAAATGGCTGACATGCAACAAAACCAGGGATGGATTCCAATTCAGAGCACAGAAGTCATGTCTTAGTTTGTGTCTAGGCTACTTGCCCAACTTGGCACAGTGACAGGGAAAGAGACAGTGACTGAAAGAAATGGATATAAATGAAAGGTCAATGATAGAAGGTATTCCTGTGCTATCAAATTCATTGGCCAATAAATGTTATATATACTGGATGACTGGAATAGTAAATTCAAAACATAAATGAAAAATGTCTTACTAATTTAAACAGAAGAATACTTGTATAGTTCCTTTTTATTTCTGAACTTTTTATGTTGGATGATACTGGTGGAAATCAAGATTTTGCTCAAAATTAAATAAATGCTCAGCATTTGGAGACCAAACATACCCACTATGGCTGCTATGTATTGGGAAAGCTGCATTTTAAAAAGTAAACAAAAACTAGCTGTATCTGCAGACAGTATGTGGTCAGTGGATTGAAATTTGTTTTTTACAACATGTATATATATATGTATGTATATATACGTATACGTGTATACGTGTATATATATATACACACACACACACAGTGAGTGTGTAGTTTGAGAAATGTTGCACAAAAGGAAACCTGAATGCATACAAGATACATAAGCCGAGATAAATCGATAACAGCAATTTACCATTTCAGCAGTGTTTTTCAACTTGTGCAAATGCCTTACATTAAGTTTGTGATATTTCTGCTGAGTGTGGTCAAAGGATAGGTTTACAGACTTGACTTTAAGTATACAAGACAAACCAACGAAAAACTAACTGCAAACAAACTGTAAACAAAACATGGAGTATATTTAGATGATCTATTAGCATTTTTCCATCGCATAATACTGACTCGGTAACACACAAAGCTACGTGACATACACACGAACAATGGAAGATAACGAAGGGATATCAAACAGAGAAACATCTGCACCTCCTCAATTGACCCTGGGGAGGTTTTGCAGGTTGCCATATTAAAAGTAACCAGTGGCAGCATGAACAGCTTCAAATCCTGAGCAATGTATCAAGTGCATGGTTGAAACTATCTTAACAGGACAAACAGAATGCTGGCACTCACAGATAAATAAATTCATGTTTAATTTGTTTTTTTGCCCCATGTTAAACAGGAAAATTATGTATCTGTGAGAGCTGGCATTTTGTTTGTCCACCCATACTAAAAATACAGTAAAATAACAAACAAAAATGTCACAGGCAGTGAGCGGTATACAGTTGCTTGGATATTTAAAAATGGCACATTTGTTCAGAACATCCCGTCTCACACAGTGATGACACAGTAGTGACAATTATTTCTGACCAATCAGTAGTCTCTAATGTTTTCATGTCACCTTTTTAGTATCGCCTCAGCTTGCTTGGAACCTCAGCGGAGGTAATACCAAAAAAATAACAGGTACCAGGTTCTATCCACAATTTTTGCCCAGTGGAAAACAAAAAAGGTGAGTAGTTGAGTTAATTTGGGTCGGTACCATTCAGCGGAAAAGGTCCATTTAACAAGGGTGGAAATAAACAAATTACAAAAAAAAAACAAAAACAAAGAGGCACAGAAATGTTGACTATTCAATGTGTAAAAAAAGGAATAATTGGGTTCTTGTTCCTCTTTCTGTCCTATTAAAGCGTGCATGTTTTCCTTAGGGTAGGCTCAATATGGGTGCTAGGCAACAACTGGGTCATTTAATCCTTTAGGATTTAATTTCTCCTTTTTCTGTGACCTTCAAAACGAGACACTTCTGCGGGGACATTCAAATATATACTAAGGGCTATAACAGGCAGCCTAAAATCAAATGATTAATGGACTGGACCTACTAAACATAGAACGTCACCTTTCTCAATTCATGTAGCAAAAGTTTTTTTTTTCTTACACAAAATACAGGAATGTTATTCATATGTAGTTTCCAAAACCAAGCATTGTGTTGATATAGTCATTTTGTTCATGCAAGAGAGTTACACCATAAATCTTCACTTTTTATTTAGAGGCATTTCTACCCTGGCATACTACTGCTTGTGAAGACAACATGTTTTCTAATGTCAAATTTAAAATAAGAGCCAAAAACTTTTTGCAGAGGACAGTCTTGTATTCTTGATTGTCAAATAACTGTCATTGTACAAATAATGACAGAGCCTTGGGCTTGGGATGACCCTGAACTCAAAATCGTTTACCAGTAAATAGTTGCAAGAAAGATGTGCACATACTGCATCCAAAATAAAACACAACTTGGTAACCACACTATACATATTTCCAAATTCATATCAAATGACTCAAAACAAGAGTATACACTTTGAGTTGCATTCTTTGCTGTCTAATACCTGATCTCTGACCTGAGTAGAGTGTCCATTGAGAAACTCGTCTAGGATTAGTAGGCCTGAAGAGGCTGCTGGCCAAGAATAATCCAAATCAGAGAAATGAGCCCTCCAAAGTGACGGGACACCTGACAAAAAGAAAGATAGGGTTGCAATGAACTGAGTCTCGCATGTCCACAACATCTTACAGCTAGTCTTTCAGGAACTTTCATAATTTTGACATCATCAGCATCTAAGAGAAGTCCTTCAAATGCAGAAATTCGGGTTTTTGTTTGACTCAATAAATATAGTGTTTAATGATGTACTGTGTGCAAAAAACACTATATGTGTGTCCATGTGTGTACACCAGGTCAAACAGTAAGTTGTGTCACATGCTTTCAGCTGCTGTATTAACGACTTCTTCAAGCGTCCCTTCCTAAAATTCTACTTATCTATCATTGCAATGTGGCAGACCCCTTGCACGTCTAAATGAGCGTGTCTGCTATGACAAAGATTTCTCTCACCTTGGCGGGCTGTCTATCTCTACTGTTGTCGCTTTAATTGCATCTCAGCAACAACAAAAATAAAATGTTACGTTGATCTGTGGCTTATAAATAGTACTATTATGAGCGAAAATACAGGAAAAACATGGATGCAGGGCGAGGAAAGGACATGCATTTCATTATGAGACATGTAAAGCGCAAGCAAATGGCCTACAGAAAACAAAGGGTGTCTGCATAGTGGGGATTTCTATTAAAGAACACATCGACATTCTTATGAAAACAAACTGAGTGCTTTGAAGCAAATTAGTAAACTGACTAGCGCATGGCCTGTGCGGGAGGAGTGGATGCAGCCAAAACATGGCCTTTAAATGGATGAATCTACCTACTGTGAAAACGAGTAGAGGATGTGCAGCAACCCTACCAATTTCGTTAAATATTCTATCACGACGTGCTAATTAGTCCCACTACAGCACATATATAAGTAATAAGCAGGCAGGAAAACCGAGATGAACGTAGCTATTCGACTATGACGCCGGTTTATAAAAAAATATATATCAGAACCAGCTAAGCTAACTTGGGTGAGCTAACACTAAAAGAGAGCTTTCGTTGGCCATCTTTGCAGATAGCGTCAGCTGGTGTTGTGCTATGTATAATTCGTAAATTAATGTTGACTAACCAACAATTGTGTGCTCGGAAATGCTATAAGTGTGACGTTTAACATAATTTCAGATCGCACAGCAGAAGTAAACAACCACATTTGTTTGTGAAAACGAAGACGGCTAGCCAAGAACTCCACTAGCATCAGTAGCTAACGCTAGCTATGGTGGCTAACTGTCGTGACTAGCAGCTAGTTGGCTAACGCTGCTGTTAACTTATATTTTACTAAACGCTGTTTGAGTTGTACCGAGGGGGTAAAGTCTTGGTAATTACGGTTTTCTCAACTACTGGGGAGCTCGTTACTTTTCTAATTTTATGAAAACGCAGGAAGGGTTTCATATGCGTTTCCGTTTTAGGATGTAATGGACCCATATACTCGAGTCTGTGCACCCGGCTTTACTAGCATGTTGGCTAATGATGTTTTGTCCTGTGTGTAGTGAAATGGTTTTACCAAAATCAGCGTAAAACTAAGCAGAGATCATCGATTCACGAGATACTCACTTTACGACGTGCTTAAGGTCACAAGGTTCCCCCATCTTTGAAATCGCTGGTAATCGGCCCTTGGTATAACATCAAGCAACAATGTATGCCGACGTCAAATCCATACGGAGCTGTCGGAAATGATCGTCGGCTCAGTGGCTCCGCTGCTGCTGCGCCCCAGCTTCAGCCTGGGTGATTCTTGGTACTATCGAGCTAGCATGGGCTCACATAGTTAGCCAAGAGTTGGAGGAGAGATCGAAATGACAGATAATCACGAAAACCAAGCCCTCAGAAAATGTCTTAGTCTGGCCAACCTGTACGTTACAATAAAACTGGCAATCTAAGCTACTGGAAGGACTGTGAACATGTCTTTGGGATACCTTTTATTCCACACTGGTCCTCACAGTGTCTCTATGGCTGTGGCTGCTGTGTTCAACAACATCACATGATGTGGGTGCACAGCTGGCGCGAACCCTGGAGCGCACCGCCGATTCGAGCTATCAGCAGCGACTTACTAAATAAAAAAAATACAGAGATAAAACTAAAAGCTTCACTACTTTGTTATCAAATGCTAAGACATAATGAGCGGAGAGAGGGGGAAAGAAATGAGAGCCCGACACGGAGGGTCCTCTGTATTTCATTCTGGCTATTGAATAAAAATATGTAGCACCCCAAATGTTTAAGACACTAAACGTAAACTGAGGATGTTCTCAAAATAATACAATGAATAGTTTTTATTTATCAATTAACTTCAAAAAAAAAAAAAAAAAGTCAGCATTTGGTGTTACCAACCTTTGCCTTTAAAACACCAATTCTCCTAGGGTACACTTGCACTCAGTTTTTCAAGGTACTTGGCAGGTAGGTTGTACCAAGCATCTTGGAAAACTTAGACACAGTTCCTATGTGGATTTAGGCTGTCTCAGCGTCTGACTCGTTGAGATCAGGGTTCTGTGAGGGTCTCTTGCAGGAGTCTCTGCTCTTCCTGTAGCTGAAAATAGCTTTTTATGACTGGCTGTGTTTTGATGTTACTGCATAATGAATATGGGACTGATCAGACGCACCCCTGATGTCATTGCATGATGAATAAGAATCTAGACAGCTCAAGGGCCTCAAAGGCACTGTTCTGTATATACATGGAACTCTCAGCAAAACTTGGATAGTTTCCACACAGCAAATTTCAAGTATGTGTGACAAGATGCAATCTTGTTACGTCGAGATCATGACATTAAGTATTTAATGTGTGCTCCCCACACAACAATACTAGAAATAATGAGTTATAAATTGTAATTGTCTCATACGTATTCATGGGAAAAGGTGGTGCTCTCAACAGTCCTGCCTAAGCAACATACATGTTTTCATGTATGCTGTCTGATTTCAAAGCCCAGGAGAGAATGAGATATGTAGTGTTCAGAGTTGTTCCCACTGCTCTTGACCGTGACGATACAAGAGCCCACTGGCACCAACTGTTCACTGCTGTGGAAGAGTGGGACTTTGACTGAATGTTACACAATTCTTGATTCGATTATAGTAAGAAATAAGGTGAATGTATAAAATAAAGTGTTATTATTTGTAGTTTAGAACACGCACTTAGTGCAACACTGTACCTCAGACACTCCGGAACAGTAGGTGGCGGTATCATTTTACTACATCCATGGGCAGCATGGATCTCACAAGTTGGTTTGCAGCTGCCATTAGCAGTAGCTGGACACTTCCCTTATATACTTTCAGACGAGGTCGTCAAGAAGCTGAACACGATTAACCCGATTATCTCCTCTATTCTCAATTTTACAGGAGAGTCTGTGGTTGTGAATTGTGTAAGTTTTGCCGTTGGTTAGATAGCTATATTGTGGCGTTATTTGTAAAGAATATGTCCTCATCAAGCGCGAGGCCTAGCTAGCTACATAGCCAACGTTGGCTAAACTTGACATTTTGTGAGATTTGTTTGCCACCGACTTAACAAATGCATCAAAAAAGTTGCGTAGGCGGTAACCGTAGTGTAATATTCTGTGTTTTATCATTGTAATGCCAATTAGCGTTGCGGTTGGTTGATGAAATACTGTTGATATTAATGGCGACAAGGTAGTTAGCATGTACATGTGGTGTACGTGTTTCTGGTTAGCTAAGCTGGAGTGACACTGTTCCTCAGTCAATTTGTCATGCACGATGGATTTAACTACGTGGATCGATAACCTGGAAGCCGTAGTAAGGTGTCACGCAATTGATTTGCTAATCGGCAATGGCTCGTTTTCCTTAGCGACTGGTATTTAAGTTATATCGGCAGCTATCGGTTGGCTAACTTTAGCTGCTCTGAGGTTTCGATGCCTGAATAATTGATACAAACCTTTGCCAATTATTTGGTGTAGTATGGCGTGGTATCTGGTAGCCATACTTAGCCATAATGAAGCATAATCAGTCATAAATTGTTGTTTGGTTTCACTTTATATATTTTGGGCTTTGGTTCAAATGTCTAGAACTAAGCAGCTGGTCATATTACAATGGATGTAGTGTAATAGTATTAAAATCATGGAGCCATATGTGAATTTCTTTCATGGCGGTGCATTAAATGCTGAAGTGAAAGTCTGACTACAGAAATTTGCCATTCAGCTGTCACATAGCATTGCATTCATAAGCCATATTTGGGAACTGAACGGGGAACGCAAATAATGATCAAGAATGACTGTTGTCAAACATGTCATAAATTTAATAATTATTATTAATGGAAGAAGTTTTAGTTACATGACAGCCCATATGCGCACCATTTCTATGTGTTTAATTCTAGTGTGTTCTACAATTGAATGGTCAAGGCTGGATGACCTGCATAGTAGTTAGTAAACAAAAAGTTAGCAAAGAAGTATCTCTTCAAAGTTGTGACGCTTTCACAATAAATTGTTTCGAAGATATGATGTTGAGGAACGTCAATGAGAAGACAATCACACTTGCTACGGAACAAGTGTAATACTGTATCAGTTTGCATTGGTGTATCAAGGACTAAGTGGTGCTAAGGCGAGTGGACAGACGAAGAAAACACAATAAAAGGGGACACTGCTGTTTTTGGATAAACCGGAATGCTAGTCTCTGGAGCAGACAACAGATTGCAGAAGTGGTGTAGATTGTCAAACTATGTGATCCACAACAGAATGTTTTTGCTACCGTGACAGATGTGGTGCTGCTTTGGTTGGATCAAAGCTGATGCTGATGTTGCTAATGCAAATGGCCTGTAGTTAGCATGCCATGACAACAGTGACATTAGATGATGGTGTTATTGTCCTTGATAAGTAGCAGCTGTGTATCAGTTGAAGAACTGCCTCCTTCGAAGTCTGCATTTCAAGACTGAATTTATCATGGATCAACAAGGCTGTCCTATTATGAAGGCCCCATCATATGCAACGAAGAAATACTTGTTCAATCGTGGTGTTATTGACCACCTCGTTTGCTGAATAAATGGACCAAGTCAGTTTTTTAACTACCATTGTGACGTGCAACACCTGTATGCAGGATTAATGCTGGTCTTTGAGGGAAAATAATGGCTGTGTTGAGTGCTCTGTGAATTGGTGCTTTCTGGGAGGTGACACGTTTAGTCTATTAGCCTTCAATCTTCCAAAGGCCTATAACCTTTTCAGCTGTGTTGTTAAATAAAGAGGTGGCCTTTGAAATGTTTAATTTGCAAGATACATATGTATAGGTATATTAGATTATATGTGATGAATTAGAATAGCTTGCCATGTGTGAGTTGGTGTAACTGTGACGTGTGCACAGCATTTTCTGCACCAGTAGATAATATGGTTAATTTTTGTTTTCCAATGCCTCAGTAGAAACTGATCAAGAGCAAAAAGGTAAATGATTATGGCAGACAGATCACTGTCAGACTGTTTTTAATGGCTAGTGTTTGATGCTGAGTGATGTGATTTTTGAATATACAGATCAATGCTGTGCCATTGGTGTTATTGAAAATATCTCAGTAATGATGAAGTTGTGTGGAACTGAATGTACACTGAATAAGATTTTGGAGCGAAAGGGATGGGTTGTTCATACTTTACTTAATTAATTTGACTGCCACTTCAACACAAAGGGCAGATGCTTTAAGTTGATATTGTGTGTCGCAAGTTGTGGTGTCTGTTGAACTGTTATAGTTAATGTCACCAATCTGAATTTTGTAGTTTTGTCTGTTTTAAGGTGGTTTTGTGGACATTGATCGTGATGGTGTCACCTTGTCTCTGATCTCCTTTACCTCACATTGCTATTCAGATTCAGTGGTGTAATATTCGGATACAAGGAAAATGACGCTGAGCTGGAGAAGCTCTGTTGGCAATAATGCTATTCTATACCCTTCTGTCTGCAGGTGCTGTTATTTGTGCTTCAGCATGGCAGTCGTCATCCGTTTACAGGGACTGAGAGTCACAGCAGGTTCTGAGGATATTCGCAAGTTCTTCACCGGCCTCAAAATTCCAGATGGAGGGGTTCATATAATTGGTGGGGAGCGAGATGAAGCTTTCATTATCTTTGCTTCGGATGAAGATGCAAGGAGAGCCATGACACGGTCAGGGGGTTGCATTAAGGATTCACCTGTTACACTGCTACTCAGTAGTAAAGCAGAGATGCAGAACATGCTTGAAAGAAGTACAAAAAATGTAGAGCTGGATCAAAGGAGGCGATTTGAGGAGAATGCAAGACGTGCTAGAAAATCTTTGGGCCCTGAGGCGGGCAGGAGATCAGGTAGCAGATCGGGTCATACCCCTCCCCCTCAGCACCAGAGGGCTTCAAACAATAGTGATGACTTTTTGTGTGTGTTTCTAAAAGGAATGCCTTTCTCTGTGACTGAAAGGGAAGTACGTGATTTTTTCAGTGGTTTACTTATTGATGAAATAATCTTATTGAAAAACGAATATGGCGCAAACAATGGGAGAGGTCTTGTCAAATTTGGAACAAGACAGGATGCAAACGAAGGCCTGAAGAGGGATAGGAAATACATCGGGTCAAGGTATGTGGAGGTTTCCATGACAACAGTACATGATTGGCATCGAGCTACTGGTAGAGTACCAATGGTTGTCAACAGGGATGACAACTTTGAAAGGGAGAGATCACCCATTCGCAATCAGAGGAATCTTCAACATCGTGCGAAGTCACAATCACCTTTGGCCCAGAGGCCTATGGCTCCTTCTGATGATGAGTACTGTGTTTTAATGGACAATTTATCCTATACTGTTGAAAAAGAAGACATAAAAAAGCTTTTTCATCATACAAAGCTTGAGGATGACCAGATCCTGCACTTGATTGACAGTGATGGAAGAAGAACTAGATCTTCATTTGTGTTGTTCAAGAATCAGCGTGACTACTGTGAAGCCTTAACTCATGAAAAAAGACTATTTTTTAATCGGTGGGTTTATACCCGTCCAATCTCAAGAGAGAGCATGATCACCCTTCTTGAATCTCAGAGTATGGATGTCCCAGCGTCTGGAGACTCTGAACGGATTCAGGAGAGGCCTCCATCTTACCTCAGTGAACGGTTTCAGGAGAGGCCTCCATCTTACCCCAGTGATCCTTATGACTCTGAGAAAGTGTGTGTGTTTGTGCGGAACCTGCCATTTGATGTAAGGAAAGTTGAGATCATGGACTTCTTCCACGGGTTTAATATCAATGAGGACAAGGTGTTCTTGTTGCTTGACCATAAAGGTGCTGGGGTGGGGAAGGCTTTGATTCTCTTCCAGTCTGAGGCAGAGGCTATGAGGGCACTCTCTCTCAATGGACGACGGTTTCTTGGGTCAGAAGTCATGCTGAACTGCATTTCACGTTCTCAGATGCAGCAGTTGGGTGTTGAGCCCCCAATGGCACAAGAGCCAGCTGAGCAAGAGCCACTGCCACGAGAGGAGTGGTACTCGGGCAGGAGCAGCGAGGCATCCTATCGCCCTGGTGAAACTGAGTACACTGACTTTAGGATGCCTCATGATGGTAATATGCCAATGACTAATGTCCAGGCTCAAGTCCATGGAGGCTGTGATTATGAGCCTTATGCAGCGGGCCCCTGTGCTCCACGTGACAGGGGTAATGGTGTTCGTGATGACTCTGGCCCCTCATTGCAGCATTTTGATGGTCCCACTTGTGTAAAGTTAATCAACTTACCATTCCAAATCAGAAGCGAGGAAATCTATGACTTTTGCTATGGATATCGCATTATCCCTGGGTCTGTCTCACTGCTGTATGACCAGAGTGGAAAACCTAAAGGCTCTGCGACTGTAGTATTTGAGTCTCGGCGGGAGGCCTTAACAGCAGTAGAGGAACTGAGTGGAAGACCAATAGGTCCAAGAAAAATAAAGCTACTATTTGTTTGAGAGTGACATTGCGTTTCATGCCACTAACATGCCCTAGCAGTGTGGTTTGGACATGTACACAATGTTTATTTAAGGGAAACAATTGCCTTCTGTTTCTCATTTTGATTAATGTGGCATGGGTTCATTGAACAGCGAATTTAGTTATGTTTATTTTCCCAACTGCATTTTGTTTTAGTGATGAGGCATTATAGTCTGTTGATTTATTATTGGTTTTGTATACAGTTATCATCTTAAAGTGAAATACTGGAGGTTTGGTTTTCTCACTGAAATATTTTTGTTTAATTCAACTTGTAACACCGTGTTGAAAATTTTCATTTTACTATTTTTGGTTATTGAATTATTGTAGGTTTTTCATCACAGTTCTGTTGATGATGCAAACAAATTTTGCTTTCTGACATCAACCTGTAAATAAAGTGTTTTCTGTGTTTGTCATTGAGTATTAAGTTTGGATGTACAGTATTTTCATTTTATAAAAATCCATCAGTCTTAGAGCATGACTTAAAAAATAATATGTATTTTAAACAGTGCCTCTTCCTCTGATATAAGACTTTTTCACCAGCAATGTGTAGCATCCTCTAGGTTTACTTATGAGATGGATTTTGACAGTGAAAGTTGCAGTGATGCACATTAACACACACAATTATGCCTCATCTTTGGGTGTAAAGCAGATTTTAATAAAATGTCATAAACTTTTAAGTTAATTAAAACAATTAAACATATACTTACATGATATGTGGTAGATTCAGGTGCATGAAATCCTCCAGTATATTAGTTACTGGTACACCATTTGGATTTTACTTTGAACATTTTAACAGCCCCTGAAAGATCACAATCTGGATTTAAATGGAACGTGATAAATGAACTCCACAGCAAAGACTTAAGCACCCTATTGAAGAGCTAAATGTATCATAATTATATTGTTACAAATCCTTGGTGTGTAAGAGAGTGAAAATTTTTTTAACCAGTTTTCTCTTTATTTTCAAAAAGGCAAATGCAACTTGGAAGCATTTCTGGCCTTGATTACTATGACTATTAGGTTATGACAGCCACATTATTTAAAATGTATAGTATCAAATGTAAGCCACAGCTATATTGTCTGCTCATTTCTTAAGCTATTCCCTTTAAGATCAGGTGAAACTGACATGATCCTGTACATCTACATAAAAAAATTAAGATTTTATTGTGAAAGTTATGTACCGGAAGTTATGGTTTTGCTTCGACTAGCATGACACCGGTGAGGTGAGCAGACAGAAAACCACGCTGCGGGAATTTGATAAAACCACAGGTGAATAATTAAACATTATATGTCTTGTTTTTAAAGTAAAACGGCGATGATGACAATCCTGAACGTGCCCATATGAGTTATTAGACCAGTATCGCTAGCTAGAATGATCGTTTCTCAATGTTCAAACTTCTGCATAATTATAAAGTTGCATTTGCCAGCAGTCAACGTTAGCTGGTTTACTGTGATTTTGTTGCGTTAATATTGTTATAGTGGGACTGTGTAAGATTTTTATACACAGACACGACCGTTAAATAAGTAAAACAAGTGATGAGCAGTGATTCGTAAACGTTAAACACAACTGCTAATGGTAGCCGCTCGCCGTTATCATGCAGACTACGGTTTACACAGATGTCTGCCATGAAACACGTTACAATGGGCAACAGGAATTTTCCACCTGTTTCCGAAACTGTCTCTACAGTTTAGGTACAAAGGGATTTAGAAATCGTTTTTACTGCTAGTGTTCACATGTTATTAATTTAAGTGAAGTTGATTGTAGTATATTAACTGTCAGCTAAGATAATAGGACCGAGTTAAGTCGTTTCTGTAATCTATATAATCCACAATTGCCTACGTTAGCTGTTATGCTACATTCGGACGAGGTCCTCCCAAAATCAGCCACTGCAAAGTGTAATTGTGAATATTTTTTTAGTATTTATTTTTTCCAAGGAACTCCATTTTAGAAACTTAAACTTACTTTACTACTACTTTAATTCTTTTAATACTTTATTCTATTTCATACCTGCCTTCTATGAATTAGGAAAGATCATCTGAAGCCTGACATCAAAATAGTAGGCCTAATATACATTTCTCATAATGTTTTGAGTAACAGAATTTTAACTATTCCTAGCATACAACTCATTACAGATTCCCCAATGGTCTGCAAGCCCCACTTTGGAATGCACAAAAAAATAATATATTGAAACATTAGTAATGTCTGTCTGTATTAATACAGCACTACTTAGTATAAATGTCATGAGTGAGCCTTGTAGAGTGTAGTAGGCTTAAAACATGTCTGAACCTTAATGACACCAGACATGGAGGTATCAAGGAGAAGGATCCTCCAGAAACATCTGGAGCCTGCGAGACCCCTGCGTCGCTGCATCCATATTGACATGGGTAAGTAATCTGCACCAGTTGGTCAAACTTGAAGGATCAGAGGTTTCTGTTAATTTATTCTTATTGTGTTCATATTTAAGGGAGTGCTTTTAAGAGAATTCTATCACTCCATTTAGAGCCCCAAATAAATGCTGCTACATGTGCACAGGCACTGATGGAGGAAGTGGATCAAGAGGTAAGAAATCCTAAAGAATGTAATATTTTAGGGTTATAACAAACTGTTTTTTTTAATTTTTTATTATTGTTATTGATTATTCTGTCAATTTCTCAGTGTAACATGTCAAACCAGACAACAAAAGTTGTGGTCTTCATATTGCTTATTCTGTTACTTTCAAAAGTTAAAACCCCAAAGATAATCAGTTTACAATGATACAAAGCAGCAAATCATCACACCTGAGAACACTAAATGGCAATTTTGCTTAAACTTTTCATTAAAATGATTTAAATTTTCCAATTAATTGGCCAATTTAGACAAGATTAAGTTTTTTCAAGTTTTTTAATCTTGTGCTTGACAGACAGATATTAGCATAGAGCAGTTCTACAAGATTGTCAACCTCCAAAAACATAACGAAGGTAAGACAAAATGTTTTAATGACACATGATGCCTATTGTAATGCTTATGTGTTTACTTCAAGTTGGGAGGTTGTTATTTAGAGTACTGGTGTGACAGATGCCCCTTGTACTGTCAGAGTACCTACTTTTTTCCTCTCTTATAATGTTGATTTTAAATTTTTAATATATGTATGTACATCTATACTTGTAGGCAGAATATCTTACACAAGAGATTTTTTAATTGGGTTGGCAAGTTGTCCTGAGGCCAGGAAGAAGCCGGAATTCTTGCCAGAGCACCCCATAGTCTTAACTGAGGCAGTAAGTTGGCTGTTTTCATTCAGTTTTAATGTGGTATCTTCACTAAATGGTCAAAATAGTTATAACTGTGCTGTTTGGATTTAATTGTGTTTTTATACTATCTTTAACAGAGAGATCCTGGGGACCTAAGGCTTCATGAAATGGGAGGTGGAAAAGAGGAGATGTAAGTTTAATCTTTAAACTGTATGTAAACTCAGTTTGAGGTTATCACACCCCTTTGATACAGTAACAAATGACACAATCTATATAATGATTTGAATTGAGTGCAAATTACTGTTTGACAACTACATTGTTTTTATGCACAGAACGTATTAGCCCTGGCTCATTACTGGTTGTTCTATCATTGTCTTACTGTATGCTTGACTGTGGGTGTTAGGTGCTTTTTACTTTGTTAAATTCAGTGTGGTATCTTGATAAAGTCACAGACATGAAGAGTAAAAAATAATAATTTTTCAATATTTCTTTCTGTTTTTAGGGCGGCAGTAAGACTTCACTCACCTTAAAAAATTTGCACTGGTGTTCACTGTTTACCCCAAAGAGTGTTTGTTTTTACCTTTTTACTTTTCTTGTTGAATTTTATTTAACTCGTGACATTTATTTTGCATGTTTATTATTTGATAACTATTTGAAGTGAAGTTGCACAAGTCATAATACTAAACACCACTTTATTTGCTTAAGTATGAGTGTTGCACTTTAACTTATATTTTCTGCTGTGTAGGATTTTGGCTACGGTGAAGTATTTATATTGTGTAGAAATGGTCTAAACATAAGATATTAATGGCTACTTTTCAAAAAACTATGGGGGAAAATTGCCCTTTTATGCAGACTCGTCATTACTCATACTGGAATCATAAAAAACAGACTTCTTAAAGTGACAGTGAACAAAATGATGTTTGCCATCAGCTGGGGTTATATCAGCATTGTGATTTAACATGTCTTACCAAACATGTTAATTTCTTCTCTCATAAAGGACAGTTTGACTCAACAGTTTGGTGTATTGACATTTTCTTTCTGGCATGTAATTCAAACTTAAAGCTGCAATAATGAACATTTACAATGTATCAAAGGACTGTGTGTCATATGAAAGGTGATGCTCGTAGTGACATACCATAGAGAAACGTCACCCAACTCTGCAGCCCCTTCCAGCTGATTGTGTTTGGTTTTCTGGCTTACAACTCTGATCTTATCATCACATCCTCAGCTGGCAGCTGTATGCTACCTTCCTAGCACCAAAGGGATGACAAAATTTGCGAGTATCTGGTGAACATAGGGAAGCATTTAGCTGCTAAAGAGCCAGGTTTTCCCTTGGGTTAGTGGAGATTAAAACATAGGTTAAATGAGGGTGAATATTGGGCTAATATCATCAGGAAGATATTAACAAGTTGCTGACACTAACAATTGAAAAAATAAGTTAATACACCTATAATGGTACAGAATCAAACCTTGAATTTTAATTTTTTACAGTATATGAACTAATGTGGTCTCTCTCAACTGGAATAAAGAAACATTTTCTAGTTTTTTTTTACATCTTGCTCAACATCATCACTATAAATCAATATTTCCACAAGATTTTCTGTTAAACTTTTTTTTACCATGGAGTGAATTAGATACTGTTATGTATTGAGGGCACTCAATATCAAGTGAAAATAGACTTGTAATAGGATTCAAGGTTTTTTAGCCTTTAAATACATCCATTAATATAAACATAGTATTGAGTTTTCACAGGCACAGAATAAGATTCAGTACTAAATAAATTAAGGTGAATGTTCTAGTAAGATCTTGTACACCATTTTCACAAAAACACTTGAATTCACCTATGGGGCACAACAGTGAACTCTGCAAGGAAATTTGATGAGTAATCTTAGACTAATCACTCAGGAACATTAGGGTTATCATTCTTTTGGGTTTGAGAAGTATGTGGTTATCACCACCGTGATCGAAATACAGGGTATCTGCAGGTTTTGAAAAGTCTTGAAAAAGCACTGAATTCTATTCCCTTAAAATAAGGCCTTAGAAGGCATTACATTTCATTTCAATTACAAATGTTTTCAATATTCAATATATATGCTGTAGACAGTAACTTGAGGCTGTTGGGAGACAAAGTGAGAAGCGATCGGCTCATAATGGAGTGATGAGTTTAGCAAAAACTTAAAATGAACAAATTCATTATTTATATTTAATTGGTTGATCCATCAATCAATTTTCCATAGCTTATTTGGGACCAGTCATGCACAGTTGAGACAGTGCACACAAAAAAGTAAAAGGCCCCCCACCCCTCCGATATAGCTCTGACAAATAAGACCACAGACGTCCATTTGGTAAGACTGTGTCCCAGGGTCCACCATCAGATAAGATTTTTGCTTTTACATATTTTGTTACAAAAAGTTTCAAACCCATGACCAAAATACATTCTGCTATTGTGTTACTTATGGGTGAAATTATAGTGAAAATAAGTTATTCGTCTTTTTGCTTGGGACTCCCATTAACCCCCTTAAGGACCTCTGGGCGTACCCGGACCCCACTTTGAGAACCACTGCTATATAGAACCTGCAGACTGAGTAGTTAGTCTTTGTGTGTCTGTGTTCATTTTATATATCTTTGTGGTTGTTTTGTGTCTATTTGTGGACATTTTGTCTCTGCACTGGTTTAGAGTGTCTTTGTGCTGGTTTGTCTTTTTGTGGTCGTTTTGCCTCTCTTTGTGGTTGTTTTTTGTCTCTGTGGTCGTTGTTGTGCTTTTTTTTATCTCTTTGGGTGTTTCTAGTCTCTTAACTGAACTCTGTGACGTTCAAACAAGAAATGTAAGAAGCTGCTTCACACAGAGGCTCCAGGGACCCTTGACCCTATGCCCCGTATGTATGTTCAGTAGGCTAATCCTTACATGCATGGTTCCAGGTCCTGTTAATTGATTATTATTATTATATGTGACAAGGAATTATTGTGATATTCAACTGGGATGTACATACAGAAATAAATTTCGATAAATGTGTACTTGTAGCCTTATGTTTGTTTTCCATCCATGAAATAGCACCTTTGACCTTGGATTGCATTCTGTGCGATTTTGAAAAGGCCTTTAATTTAATTTGGTGCACACTGCAAAAATACGGAAATACAATCAAACTGTTTTTATGAAGCTGCCTGGGATCAGTTGGAAATATGAGGTTCATAACACGCTGTGGTTATTCCCTCAGCTGACATCACTGAGCGTGGATATTGCACATCTGCTGTTTCGTCACCTTTGTTCGTGACCGAGGCAGAGTAGTCTACATCCTGCATTCCATACTGGGATAGTTATGACGCTTGTGACGTGCCCGACGTAACTTCAGCGTGGGCTGGATCCTCGCGTTGCGGTGTCGACGATGTCCAGAAGGCGAAATTAATTTGTGGGAAGCGGAGGAAAGGACAGTCTTGCAGCAACATACCAAAGGTGGGTGTCTGCCTGTTGTCTGTATTATAGCTTTTTACAGTCCTTTTGGCTTATCTTTAATATGAAGATGTAGCTAATTGTCTCTTTTTTCCCCCTGCTGTGAACGTCAGTGCTGTGTGCTGCGATGTCTGATTATATGCTGGGGTGTTAAATGTGAAAAATGTGTCTTAATTGTGCTAATTGAGTTTAAGGTGAGGCTAATTCCTTACCACATTTACGGTTAAGCATACACCCCAGTTTGTTTTAGCATTCAGGTGTTAGAGGTTGGTTTTGTTCCTGGTAACTGAATACATTTTTTTCGGACACAGCTGTTTTCAGGAAGATGGATTCAAAGGACGACAAGCCAAACGTGTCATGCAGCAGGTGAGAAGTTCCAGTCCAGTCCTGAATTCATGTCCTAACGTTTTTGTTGTGTTCTCTGGCAGATGTATAGCGCTATTTGTTTAAGTACCGGAGCGCACCTATGACACGCGCGCATGCATGCACGTGCACGGTTAAGTTGTGGCACGTTTCGACGGTTATGTAACCATTGTTGCTACGATGGCAATTAAGGTTACACCCACAGCAGGTCACTAGCATAAGAAATGATAATCAATGGGATAAATAGTAAAGAGCTTTTGTTACAGTTCAGTTTATATTCGCCCAGTTTAACCTCCTCACAGTTACTTTCCCAGCTATCATGAACAGGGCTGAGTTCCACTACACACTCATACACACTGTAAGCAATAAGTCTTCCACTCCAAGGGAGTTACACGTTCCAAAGTTTACACACGTTATTATTTTCATTGCAAACAATTAACCTCCTTAAACCTGTCCTGAAGGCTTTGTCCAAGTTACTGATTGGTGGAGGAAGCAAGAAGATAAAAAAAGAACAAAACAAACAAACAACAATAAAGAAAACTAGTCCACCCCAGCAAACAACAAAAATAGTTCCATGACAAGAGCAGCTAATGGACCACTTATTCTATCCAGGGAAATAAATATTGAAAATCTCAAAAACACTTTATCATACAAATATTGAAATGTAAAATACTATATGGCAAAACTATAAAACACCTGGTACGTTGATCTTCTTCCCTACAGGGAAACGGGTCTGAAATACAAGAAAACATTAAGTGTCACACAAATTCATACCCGACAGCATAAAACACACACAGAAAACAGCGTTAGACCTACTAGTTGTTCCTGCACTCTTGTCTCCCCTGCACACCAGCATTGAATGAGCCTGAACCACCATCACCACTTTTATTTTTACTCGGGGCCACCTGCCACATTTACATACAATAGTCGGCTATAACTGATCACACAATCAAATGTTACATCGACTTTTGGAATAATTTCCATCATGTTGAGTATATTACACGGCAGTCAGCCAACCATTAGCTAAGTAGTATTAGACCATACCATGGATGTAGCAGGTTGTAAATAGTGTGGCATTAAAGGGGACCTATTATGCTCACATCCAGATCTATAATTTTATTCTGGGACTTCACTAGAGTAGCTTTACATGATCCACTCAAACTGCCTGTTATGCAGCCATCAGTTAAGCCTCTGACTGAAACAGGCAGTATCACTTCAGGAAACTTGCTGAGGGGCGGCATCCAGTGCTTTTGAGCACCCTGTCATCCTCTTCCCAGTCTGAAAGTAAACTGTAAAACTAAGTAACAAGTAACTAAAACTAAAAAACATAACTTGATTGATTGAAAATGGCAACTTGTCAATGTACATGTTCAAGCCCGAATCCGAAGAGAGTGGACAGCATGAACAGCTGCAGGAACAAAGATTACAGCAGGATGTCTCTGTTGAATAATATTACACCCATTACCTGATTATTGTGTGACATAATGGTAGATTTAGTTTTTTAATCGCAGTCCATACATAAAACTTTTTCATGGTGAAATGTGCTGAAGTGCCTACTGAAGTGGAAAATGTCTGCTGTAAGGAAATATCACAGCTAATGCTGCTAGTAAAATGTTATTCTGCTGTCACCAAACGACTGTATAGCAAACCTGCACATTTGGTTATTTGTATACATAGAAATCTGTAATTAAATTACAGTTACTAATAAAAATGTTGGGAATTACAAAGAGATTGCATCTGAATATATTATTTTCGGTAAACAGCTTAAATGTAGAATGTAACATTCATTCTCTTGCTTTGCATCTTTTGGCCTTGCAGGGATGCTGCCTTTTGGCATATTTGCAGACATTGCGGATTGTCAGATTGGTAATAGGTGTGAGATCTAATAACACCCACTAACTTAATCCAGCATAATGTTTTCATTACATATGAACTTGGAGAGGTCATAAGGTTGTGAAATTTCTACAGGGCACCAACAGACTAAATTAAAGGTACTTAAAAGTAATCAAACAGTAATCAAATGTAATAAGTTACATTAGTTTGATGAAGTAATTAAAACAGTTACATGACTTATCACATTTTAAACAGGGTAATAAGTAATCGGTAACCTATTAGATTTCAGAAGTAACCTTCCCATCACTGCTTTAATGAAGGCAGGGTTTAGTGCAGGGCTGTTGTATTAGAATGCTTTAGTTTTAGCTCGGCATACTTGATAAGCTGGCACCTGAGTAGTAGAAAGTAGCCCTGATGAAAACTTTTCACATCAACGTCTATGGGTTTTCAAATGTAATGTTTCGGCTGTGAGTGTCACAAAAGCAATTCCCGCCTCCACTGTACTTGGGTGGCTACAAGAGAGCCCTCAAGAGACAAATGACTCAAACCTTAAAAGATAATACTGAAAGTAACTGCATGGCTAGATAAGACTAGAACTGACCCTTTAATATCTGTTCTTTTTCCCCTTTAAAGCCGCGTTTGTGTGCACAACCCACACCTGGATACACTGAAAGATGACATCCTCTACCACTTCAGTCTCGGAACAGGAACTCATGACCTACCAGCTATGTTTGGTGATGTCAAAGTAATGATTTTTATGGCACTCATTTGTGGAAAAAAAATCACCTCCATAATCATTTTTTTTTATAGCAAATATTTATGTTTTTCTTGTGTGTGTTTTCTTTTAGTTTGTGTGTGTTGGGGGCAGCCCCTGGAGAATGAAATCATTCACTGAGTACATTGCTGCTGAGCTCAGTATGGAAGACCCCAAATCAGAGTACCCAAATATCTGTGCTGGAACAGACCGCTATGCCATGTACAAAATTGGCCCTGTACTCTCCGTCAGTGTATGTATGAACAAAAACCTCAAGATAATTTTATTATTTGTTGTAAACAAATGCTATACTACTCATACAAAACAAATACAGGACAAATTTCTGCATGCTTTGTGTCCTCCAATTAAAAAAAACTGTCTGCTTTATTTTCAGCATGGCATGGGCATTCCATCTATTGCCATAATGTTGCATGAGTTAATAAAACTCCTCCATCATGCACGTTGCACAGATGTTACAATTATACGCATTGGGACATCAGGTGGAATTGGTAAGCTTGTTATTTGGAAATATTATTTGTTACGTAAATGCCTTATAATACATCTGATTTCACATTTGTTGCATTATCAAATCACACAGTTAATGTCAGAAGATTACATGCATCTTAGTCAAATACATTTAAACTCAGTTTTGCACTAATCCTGACATTTAATCCTAATAAACACTGCCTGTCTGAGGCCAGTTGGGGTCACAACTTCCTTTTAACAATGTGAAAAGTCAATAATAGTATAGAGAATGATTTATTGTAGGTCTCCTTGCTCACACACACACCCCTCTCAGTTCTGCACACAAATTTTCAATTGAATTGAAGTCAGGGCTTTGTGATGGCCACTCCAATACCTTGCATACTATTTTTTTCTGACATCTTGGCTTTTGATTTTCCCATAATGTCAAGCAAAGAGGCACCAAGTTTGAAGGTAGGCTGTAAAATCAGAAGCTTCTAAAGCGATGACACCATTAGCTGGAATTTTCCAAGCAGTTTCAAGGCACAGTCAACTTTGAGTATGTAAACTTCTGACCCACTGGAATTGTGATATAGTGAATTAAAAACAAAACAATCTGTAAACAATTGTTGGAAATTACTTACCGACTTCTCCTTACCATTTGATAACATGAAATCTACGAGGAAATTATGTGATTTGCCTTAGACTCTTTGTGTGGTCACATGTCCTTGCCATGAGATATGTTAGTTATTGTGGTCATGGATGACAGTTGAGTTCTTGGTTTGTTCATAAAGACACATTTTCTTATTTTGACCACAAGAGGGAGCCCCCATTCTTTTAGACTTAAGGGAAGTGTTGTCCAATATGGCTTTTGTAAATAGTTGCTTTTACATAATGTTATTTCTCCAGTTTTATTTTTAACTTTTATTTAAGTTAGTCACTGAAATCCTTTATGATGAAGTATGCTATAAATCTTGAATGAAATATCTTATGAATAAGCGGAATAAGTGTTTAGGAATAAGTGTTTAATTTGAAAATGAACATGATGCTGACTCACCTTAATATAGTCTTTATCAGTTCATTATGTCATTTGAACATGTATGAGAGATGTCCTTTAATTTATGCTTTCTGTATTTTTAGTCTAGAAATTGTGTATCTCAGTTACCATTCTTGGTTTTTAGGGCTTGATCCTGGCACTGTTGTTGTTACCAAACAGTCTGTGGATGCAACCTTCCTGCCCAAGTTTGAGCAGGTGATCCTGGGGAGGACGGTGGTGCGCAATACTGATCTGGACCAAAGCCTGGCTGAGGAGCTGTTGCAGTGCAGCAAGGAGCTGAACCAGTTTGAGACAGTGATAGGCAACACCATGTGTACACTGGATTTCTATGAAGGTATGTTTTGCTGCATCGATATGTTAATGACTTTGTTCACACACATGTACAATGGTTCAGGTGTAATGTGCATCTCTTGCTATCCTCCTGTCTACCTTCTCCATTCTCCGTCATCAATCACCCAGGGCAAGCCCGTTTGGATGGTGCTTTCTGCTCCTACACTGAGAAGGATAAACAGGACTACCTCAGCAAAGCCAAAGATGCAGGGGTCTGTAATATTGAAATGGAATCATCAGCTTTTGCTGCTATGTGCAAGCTGAGTGGTCTACGAGGTAAGAAAGATGCAATATCAGATTATATTATAGCTGGCAATTTTTTCATTGTTGAAAAATGCACAATTTTGTCTTCAAACGTTGCTCAGTTTCCATCATTCATTTCTTGTTGCATAAAGCGGCTGTGGTTTGTGTGACATTACTGGATCGACTGAAGGGGGATCAGCTGAGCAGCTCTCACGAACTTCTTCACAGTTACGGACAACGTCCTCAGATACTGGTTGGCTACTATATTCAGAAGCAGCTGAAAACCAAAGCAGCAGGTAAATAAGAGTAAAAGTCATACACTGGTACACTGGGATTTTCTCTTGACACTGAAAACATAATGCAAAGCAATAACTGAGCTTTAAACATTTTTTGTATACATGTATTCCTGCTCACCAGTAGCCATACCTTAAATGTGTACAGAATAATCACTGAATTTTTAAATTATGCACTGCCTTCTGCCTAATTCTGCTTATCCTTTCATTGATGTCACCATGACAATAAAATGTCAAGGACTGAGTTTTGTTTTCTCTTGTATTTTTCTTTAACCATTTAACTCAGCTTTGAATGTAACATAGAAGCCTATGGTCATCAAATGTCTTAAGGCTGCCTCTGTTTTATACAGCATATAAAGTTCCTTATCTGTAAAACTTGAACCAGAATCACCATACTCTCATTATTGAAATGTTCCTTGTTTCATTCATGCTCACAAAATACCCATGGCATAAGTGTGTCCTTGTGATGTCATTGGTTGTTGCAAAACTCTACAAACATGTATATGGAGTATTTCTTTTATGCAGAATGTATTTTAGGTTGTTTTTTTAGGATTGGATTTCCGTAATGTTTGTAGAACTTTTAGTCAGAACCTAGAAACTGTAACAATTCCACTCAATGTCTAATAAAGCCTCATGCCATCTGAAATTGTTTCACTCTGACATGTTTGAAGCTGGAGGATTTTTTGCTGTATGAGCTGTTTGTAATTGTAGATCTGATGAAGCCCCGCATAATGAGGACCAGCATCCTTAATGAAAATGAAGTTTGATGATCTATACGGAATCATTCATTTGGCTGATAAACATTTACCATCTGTCTTTAGATCAGCTAATTTGATTAACCTTTTTAGTTTTAATACAGATATTTCAATCACATTATTATAAGTCTCAAGAATTTCCACCAGTGTCAGTGGATTCAACTTGAATTCCCACAACATTGATGTTAGATGATGCATACAAATGTTAAGATTTAATTGGACAGTCTGACCATTAGCAAGCATCACTGTAGGTGAGACTAAGAGGTGTGGGTGCCATAGCTGTTGCCAAGGTTTGTTGATCAAACACAGGAGGCAGAACTTTACCAGTTTATTTGTGGGTATAGGGGTAGGTGAGTGTGTGGTCTACAGGAAACAAACAGATCCACGGAGAACAATTAGGTTACACATTCTATGCTATCATGATAACATTACATACTATAACTGACCATGAAAATAAGATGGCAAATTCATTATAAGTAGTAAAATATGCTCCATTAAAGCAGGTTGATATAAACAATTTCAATAAACAATGAATGATATCACCAAGTCACAATGATTGCACTGCAAAGGTTTGGGAAAATACTGCCGTACTGGATACAACAAATATGGCAATACATTATTAGGCAAGTAAACCTACTCCAAGTCAAATTAAATCAAATAATAATTAATAATAGTTCAACACTTTACTTTACTTAGTACTACTTCATCAGATCTCCTGATTCTAGCTGTCTGTCATCCCTTTACACTCTTTAAATCTCGTCGCACCCAATCTGCATGAGACGCCATCAAGACTACCTTCTATAGGAGCTTTCTTGCTGGGCGAACAATTAAGTACATACACAGATTTAGCTCACTTTATATGCATGACATATTTAAAAAGTGCTCTGTTGTAAATAAAATATTTACTTAATATTTGTAAGCTTTGCTGTTCTATTTTTCTAATGATGTTAGTAAAAGCATTCACATAAGGAGATTCTCTTTTTTATTAAACTAGTAGACTATGTGGCGTGAGTGATTACCTGTTTTTGTGTCTCTGTATATTATGCCCTCACTGCTTCCCCAACGCAACTAGACTCCCCAGTAAAGACTTGCAAGAGTCTGGCTTCCTTTTAAGATGTTTACTTGTTCCTCAATGGCAGAGTGAAAACTGGAACAGATAATACATTCTACATTTGATGGATACTGATTGACACTTGAGGCCCTAAATTTAACCACAATGAAATATGCCACCTAATAATTCTGCTTTGGGATACTTCAGTTTTTGTTTTTAATTTTTAAAACCACATTAATTAATGTGACAGAATTTGTACAAAAAAAAAATCAATCATCTGTAAAAACAAAGGGTCATAATAACATCTTTAGAAATAAGAGTTAGCCTAAATTTCATTTACTTTTAACACACAAGCTTAATTATGTTCATCAACTACAATTGTACAATTGTCTAAGTCCCAAATGCACTGGTGGACCTGTAAAAATTCACTGAAGGATACTGTTCCTTGGCTAGAGCTGATGAAGTTAGGACTACAAACAGGATTCTAGGCAGGCCTCAGCATGCTCTATCTGTGTCTTTAAGTAGTAGTATTAGTAGTAGTTATATGTTTGTCAAAGGCCTGTTGCCTGCATTTGACATTTTGTTTGTGCATCACTGTTGTCAGCTCAGTAAAATATGAACATTGTCTAGTAGTGACTTGAAGTGTTTTTATTAGTATGAACTTCTTTGTGATTATTTAAATTAACATATTTATCCAACGTTTTGATTTTTAGATGGAATAACACAATAATGGAATAACTGAACATTTAAACAAACTGGGGTGTATGTGTTTGTATTTTTATCATTGTTTAAAGATTGAGGCAGCCAGCAGTTGACTGTTGCTGACTCGTTTTACATGAGTAACAAAACTAAAAAAAAAAATTAAAAAACATAAGTAAGGGGAAAATAAGAATACTGAACACAGAACTGAATCATGTGAAATGCTGCTTTAATATCTCTTTTACATGCTCGAAGAATACTTACACACTACAGTTATTAGCAAGTCTTTTCTTTTACTAAAAGTTTTATACACTTTACCCCACCCTTTGGCATAGATACAGGAACTAAACTTAACCAAATATTGCCCAACAGATCCCTCCTACCAGACCACTGCTGCCCAAAAACAACTGACACTCACATTCACAGTCATCAGCAAATTTGTTCTGTTCAACATGAGGCAAAGTCCCAACAAAAACTTTCTTGGCTCAGAAATATCAGTAAACACTCCTTATCAGATGTTTCCCCTATCAAAGTCTACTTCCAGCCACAGCTAATATGTGAGATAGTGAAATCAGTATATAATAAAAACACTTCATCATAATAATCCACAAATTCTAGAAATGCTTGCTATTCCTTGATTCAGTAGTAATATGCTAACAAAATAAGCTGGTGCAGATCTGACCTGAATCACCATAAAAAAATAAAATAAAATAACATATCCGTGCCAGTGACCCCAGAACTGATCTGCTGATCTGTTTGAGAGTGACACAAGATCTGACCAGCCCAAAGGAGACCTGAAAATTCCCCTGCTGTTCCTGCTGGACTAAGACTTTGGCCCTGGTGGAAAAGGGGATTATATATCCAACAGGATCATACTGGCCCACAAGAATGCAATAGATGTTGCGCATCGACACATCTTGGAGGCGGGATGGGCTGTGAAGGTACTGAAGGGTGTCTGGTGAACAATGCCAGGTTAATCCAAGGGCATGGTCTTTAGGGTCTATTGGGACTCTTGAGTTCCATAACTCTGTAGGAAGGTGGCCAACCACTGAAGCAACATTACCGCCCCACTGTCTTATTTCAAAACCACCTGATGCCAGCAGTTCTCCCAACTTGTGCACCAATAGTCTGGCTTCCTGTGGGGAGGATGTGCTCAGCAGGCAATTATCAACATAGAAGTTTTTCTGCACGGCCTGATGAAAACTCACCCCTTGTTCACTGCGGTTGAGCACGTGCCTCTGCAAGGCAAAGGTGGCGCAGCAGGGACTGCATATGTCGTTCCAAATGGGAGGACACACCATTCATAAACCTACGGTGTCTTCTCTTAGAGGAGATCTCGCCACACGAGCCACAGTAGGGGTTGACCGCTGTAGAGTGGACAGACTTGGTGCAACATCTGTTTTATATCTCAACTGATAGCCACAGGATGTTCCCAAAAATGAACAAGAACTCCTAAGAGTGGGGATCCTCATGTGGATGCTGGCAACAGGTAGTTCAGTCCATCATAACTAAAGAGCAGTGAAACACAATTCTGTCTTTCAAGTTCAAACTGTAGCTGGGACTCATGGTGGGCTGAGGCGTACTGGCTCGTTGGAAATGATCAGGTCTGGGTGATCTGAGCCAATGACCAGTCTGTGACAGACCTTGTGAAAAGAAGGTATTGGTAGTGTGCAGCTCCACCACACTATCATCCAAAGCCCACTTATCTCCTGCTGAAATGGGGAGTGATTTCTCCAGGGTCTCAATTTCCTTTACAGCAAGCTGGTGGGTCCACCTTTACCTTCTGTCCAGTGCCTGTAATGCATTGGTATAAGGGGTGGACTCAGCACGGGGAAGGAGAAGCTGATAGGTGTCTGGGGCCTTTGCATGCTTCAGCAGTATTGCATACTTATACTGTTCTGTGGTGGAATTTTTTTTTTGCTGTCACACTTTTTTCATTTTCAGTTTCATTCTGAGTTTTACTGCAAGTGGATGGAACCTTTAAACAGAGTTCATGTATCAGACTGAGAACCGCTTCCTCTTATCTCAACGAAACTGTTGCAGATTCCCTTTTAATTTGTTAAAAAAAGCGATTCCATATATAGTATAAACAAGAACATTATTCTATAGCACTGCTGATCATAGACTTTTAACTGCTGATCATAGTGTTTTTCCACATCACTTTTGAGCATTTAAATGCTCACTCGAAATCAGAAAAAACAGAAACTTTATGTCAATATAGATCAAATAGCCTAAAATATCAAATAAAAGGGAAGATTGGCATCATAACAACACATATGAAAAATCAAATTAATAAATGCCTGTAAATAATATCGCTAAATACTGTTTTTATGCTAGGTGCTAGCTGAGCAAGCTCATAAAATCAACCTTAAACTTCAATATCAAAAAAGAATAATATTTTTGTGATACTTTTGTTCATACACACACTGACGGAGAGTACAGGGCCAACTTTGTACATGACATAGCAATCTATGTCAGCACAAATATTTGATAATACTTGACAGTTAAACCGAACAGGGTTGTATCAAATCATTAACAGGCTATAAAACAATGTCTTGTCTTTCAGGGAGAAGGTTAATGTCCTCTTATTCTGACACACTCAGTAGTTTTCTCATTTAAAAATTAACCAAAGAACATAATTCGAGGAAAGCTTATAGAAAACCTATGCTCTTAAATAAATATTTTATAACATGCATTCAGGATTTGACTTGAACTTCTCACCTGCAGCATGACACAGTCGGTTTGTTGTCCTTTGAAACGATCATCATTAAAAGTAGAAAACAGCTGTGAATTTTATTGAGTGACCAGGATCAAAACCAACTTCTAACAACACCTGAACGTTAAAACCAACTGTGGTGTGTGCTTAATCTTACTTTCCAGATGGGCTGGGCAGGTTGTTGTTGGCTGGTGAGAGTCGATTAACACAATCATTTTATAAAGAGATCCTGGAGGCTGTCACGTGAAGTTCTGTAAATAAACTCTACTATTACTCTGATGACTTTTATTCAACATCAACTCCACATGAGCATTAGGCTATTGGGGCCAGTAGCTCAATTTGAAAAGAAAAAAAATGATAAAGAGGGCGAGAGACAGAGAGGGAGAGAGAGATGTGGCTATGTGTGATTATCAGCCCAGTGGAACATGCCATGTGGCCCTCTGTGGTTCTGTGGGGCCGTCATCTCACTTATGTCTGTCACCTCAGCAAACATTCATTGTTTGTCCGCCTGCTTACAGTTTGTGTGTATCTTATAATAGTTTTAACATTGAGACAGCCAGCAGTTGACTGATGCTGATTGGTTTTACATGAAAAACACAGAACAAGAAACTGGCTTGTAATAAAATCTGCTTTAATGCTTTGTAAAGAGAGAATTCTGAACCCAGAGCTGATTCGGGTGAAATGCTGCTTTAATATCTCTTTTACATGCATGGATGATAGTTACACAGAACACCAAATATTGCCAAACAGACCTCTCTTACCAGAGCACTCGCTCCAAAAATGTTTCCTAAGCAATGAGGGTCACGTGTCATTGACATGAGCACATTCGTCCTTTCAACATGAAGCAATGTCTCTGCCAAAACTTTCTTGGCTTAGTAAATACTTCCTACCAGATGTTTCCCTATCAAAACCTACTAAGTCAAATTTTGAAATCGGTACAGGGAGAAGTAGCAGAGCAGCAGAGAGGGTTTAAGGCTACAGAGATGAAAAAGAGGAGGAGTGAGAGTGGGAATAAACAAGAATAAGCCCTCCTACGACCTGCAGACTGTTTGCAGTTTGCAGTCTTTTTGCACAGAAACAGCACAGGCCCTGTACTCTGTAGGTCTTTTACATACACAAGCTCAGGTAATTTGAATTGATTATTAGGCTATTGTATGACCAGGAAGTATTGTTCTATCCCTCCTATTGGGTTTGGGTCAAATTTGACCCTTTTGACAAATTTAGTCACCACACACACACACACACACACACACACACACACACACACACTGCGCGCTGCTCGCTGCGCGCCCTGCCTGAGACGACGCTTGTTGAGCACCCTTTAATACAAACTCTTTTCGAGCACAATGGGAGTGATATACAGCTGGGAAGTACTTGCAACAACTGTGATATGAATGCCGATAAATAAATAAATAATTAATTCGAACGGTATGACCATGAAGCGGAACCCTCATAAAGTCTTCAATTTAAATTGGTGAACGTGGCCGACGTCACTTCATGGTGGGCTGGATCCTCGCAGTATTTTGTCGACGTCAGTTGTACAGAAAGTGAAATTATTTTGTGTGCAGCGGAGTAGCGACAGTCCAACAGTAACATTTCAAAGGTGACTATCGTCTATTGTGTTTGTTGTAGCTTTTTTTTTATATAGTCCTGTTGGTTTATCTTGAAGGGGAAGATTCAAGATTCAAGATTTAATATTTTTTTTTACAATTTCAACAATCGAGCTAATTGCCTCTTTTTTCCCTTGCTGAGAACGACAAAATGCTGTGTGCTGCAATGTCTGATTATATGACGGAATCTTAAATATGAAACTATGTCTTAATTGTGCTAATGAGTTTTAAGTGAGGCTAATTCCTCACCACATGTAAGGTTAAGCATACACCCTAGTTTGTTCAGGTGTTTTAAAAATGTTGTTTTTGATCCTGGTGACTGAATAAAATTTGTTAAGACACAACTGTTTTCTATGGTTTTCAGGAACATTGATTTAAAAGACAACAAGCCAAAGATGTCCTGCGGCAGGTGAGAAGTTCCAGTGCCAATTTCATGTCTATTTGTTTAAAAACTTCAGTGTTGATATAGGCTTTCCTCAAATTTTGTTCTTCGGGCAACTTTTTAAAACGAGGAAACTACTGTACTGGGTGTGTCAGGATATTGGGTGATACATTTTTTTCCTCATGGTCAGACATTTTTTATAGCCTGCATACATGATACAACTTGAATCAGTTAAACTGTCAAGCAAACAAACAATGCTGGTCCTGGAACATAAACATTATAACCCTCATGAAGGAAAGATTTGTTTGAACTCAATGGCATAGGTTTGGGCTCAACATTGGTAGGGACACAATAGCCCCTCCAAAACAATGGTTTTAACATATGATCTTTATTTACCTGTTTTACATTTAAATAAAAAACTATACATGGTAACAGATGAAGGATTAAAAGAAAGTGAACTTTAGGAAATTACTTGTTAAGGGAATAGAGAAAAAAACATACAATATTTTTTTCCATCTTTGCATCCAACATCAACATTTTTATGTTCATTAGGCCAGTGTTGTTGTCAGCACTCAAATATTGGTAGGGTCAATTCTGTCCTCTCAAAATATTGGCATAGGTCCATATGCAAACCTATGCCCTTGGTTGAACGGACCTAGCCTGGTTTCCGACCCCTACATCACTGCCCAGATCTCTGATTTCTTTAGCGAATGAATGATGTGAAGTGGAAATTTAATCCAATTATCAGACTAGAACTGACCCTTTTAATATCTGTTCTTTTTCCCCCTTTAAGACCTGTTCATGTGGAGAACCCACACCTGGATACACTGAAAGATGACATCCTCTACCACTTCAGTCTCGGAACAGGAACTCATGACCTACCAGCTATGTTTGGTGATGTCAAAGTAATGATTTTTATGGCACTCATTTGTGGAAAAAAAATCACCTCCATAATCATTTTTTTTTATAGCAAATATTTATGTTTTTCTTGTGTGTGTTTTCTTTTAGTTTGTGTGTGTTGGGGGCAGCCCAACAAGAATGAAAGCATTCATTGAGTACATTGCTTGTGTGCTCGGTATGGAAGACCCCAAATCGGAGTACCCAAATATCTGTGCTGGAACAGACCGCTATGTCATGTACAAAATTGGCCCTGTACTCTCCGTCAATGTATGTATGAACAAAAACCTCAAGATAATTTTATTATTTGTTGTAAACAAATGCTATACTACTGATACAAAACAAATACAGGACAAATTTCTGCATGCTTTGTGTCTTCCAACAAAAATTTTATTATTAATTTTATAAGTTTATTTTCAGCATGGCATGGGCGTTTCATCTATTGCCATAATGTTGCATGAGTTAATAAAACTCCTCCATCATGCACGTTGCACAGATGTTACAATTATACGCATTGGGACATCAGGTGGAATTGGTAAGCTTGTTATTTATGTTATGTATTTATGTTTTGTTACCTTGTAATACATCTGATTACACATTTGTTGCATTATCAAATCATAAATACTGCTACCACTCCAAAGATGCTAGTTTACTTGACTTGCCTTAGACCCCCTGTGTGGTCACATGTCCTTGCCATGGGATGGGTTAGTTAGTGTGGTCAGTTGACAGCTGAGTGCTTGGTTTTGTCCATAAATAAACATTTTCTTAACACAAGAGGGAGCCAAAATTCCCTTAGACCTTAGGGCAGTGTCATCCAATATGGCTTTTTGTAAATAGTTGCTATTACATAATGCTATTTCTCCAGTTTTGTGAATGAGAGAAAACGGATATTTTTGTTTTTAACTTTTATTTAAGTAAGTTACTGAAATCCTTTGTGATATACCAACCATAAAATCTTTTAAATATGCTATAAACCTGGGGTCCGCTGTTAAAGCTTTGAATTTACAGACAGAATTTACAGTATATCTACCAGCATGGCTAAAGGGTTTATGATACTAAACTTAAGACATGTTATCTGAGATAACTTAAGAGGTTTATGAATTCATTTGGCTGTGTTTCATTTGAAAATGAACACAACGCTTAATCAACTTACTACCATTCTTGGTTTTTAGGGCTTGAGCCTGGCACTGTTGTTGTTACCAAACAGCCTCTGGATGACACCCTCCAACCCAGGTATGCGCAGGTGATCCTGGGGAAGACGGTGGTGCGCAATACTGATCTGGACCAAAGCCTGGCTGAGGAGCTGTTGCAGTGCAGCAAGGAGCTGAACCAGTTTGAGACAGTGATAGGCAACACCATGTGTACACTGGATTTCTATGAAGGTATGTTTTGCTGCATCGATATGTTAATGACTTTGTTCACACACATGTACAATGGTTCAGGTGTAATGTGCATCTTTTGCTATCCTCCTGTCTACCTTCTCCATCCGATCAATCACCCAGGGCAAGCCCGCTTGGATGGTGCTTTCTGCCAATACACTGAGAAGGATAAACAGGACTACCTGAGAAAAGTCAAAGACGCAGAAATCTGCAACATTGAAATGGAGTCAACAGTTTTTGCGGCTATGTGCAAGATGAGTGGTCTACGAGGTAAGAAAGATGCAATATCAGATTATATTATAGCTGGCTTCATTTTCAGTGTCGTAAAATGCAGAATTTTGTTTTCAAACTTTGCTCAATTTCCATCATTCATTTCTTGTTGCATAAAGCGGCTGTGGTTTGCGTGACGTTACTGGATCGGCTGAAGGGGGATCAGCTCACCAGCTCTCATGAATGTCTTGTCAGTTACGGAGAACGTCCTCAGATACTGGTTGGCTACTATATTAAGAAGCAGCTGAAAGCCAAAGCAGCAGCTAAATAAGAGCAAAAGTCATACACTGGTTTGCAGACTACATCAAATTCTGGGTATTTTCTCTTGATGTATGGATGCACTCCTGCTCAGCATTAGCTTGCTTTCAATGTATACAGAATAATCACTGAAATTATGCACTTCCTTCTGTTTATCCTTTGATAAACATCAGTCATGACAATAAACCATCATGGACTGAGTTTCACTTTTGTATTCTTTTGTATTTTTTTTAAACCATTTAACTGAACCTTGAATGTAATATAAAAGCATGGTCATCAAATATTCTTTTTTAAGGCCGCCTCTGTTTTATACAACATATAAAGTTCTTTATCTGTAAAGCTTGAACCAGAATCACCATACTCTCATTATTGAAATGTTCCTTGTTTCATTAATGCTAACAAAATAAATCTGACATTGCTAAATGTGTGTCCTTGTGATGTCATTACTTGGTGCACAACTCTGCAAACATGTATATGTATTTCAGAATCAAAAAACTAACAAATTGTCACTCATTTTGAGAGAAAGAAATTCAACTTGATGTTCAATAAAGCCTTGTGCCACCTGACATTGTTTTTTGTTCTGTCTTCGTGTTAAAGTAGCACAAGTTCACAACGCACTGCTGTTAGCTCTTGGTGAAAGCACTTGAACATTTTTGAAGCTGGAGGATTTTTGCAGGATTTGCTGTTTGTAATTGTAGATCTGATGAAGTCCAGTATAATGAGGACCAACATCCTGTCTCACATCTGACAATGCATATCAGAGCAAAAATCAAAGGATGAGGAAATAGGAAAAGCCTGCAGAGCTCAGAGACAAGATTGTATTTAGGCACAGATCTGGGGAGGGCAACAGAAAAAAATCTGCTGCATTGAAGGTTCCCAAGTGCACAGTGGCCTCCATAAATCTTAAATGAACAAAGTGTGGAACAACCAGGACTCTTCCTAGAGCTAGCCACTCAGCTAAACTGAGCAATCAGGAGAGAAGGTAAGACTTACCCTTGGTAAGAGAGGTGACCAAGAACCTGAAGGTCACTCTGACTCATCCTAGAGATCCTGTCTGGAGATGGGAGAAACTTCCAGAAGGGCAGCCATCACTGCAGCACTCCCCTGCACTGGGCTTTGTGGCTGAGTGGCCAGGCAAAAGCCTCTCAAAAAGTTTCCAAAAAAGCCCCTACAGACTCTTAGACTGTGAGAAACAAGATTCACTGTTCTGATGAAAGCAAGATTGAACTGTTTGGCCTCATTTCTTAGCATCACTGGAGGAAACCAGACATGATGCTTGGACACAGTCCTTCCTCCTAATGGCTTGGTGTTTGCTCTGAAATCCATTGTCTGCTGTCAGACCTTATATAGACAGGTGTTTCCAAATCACGTCCGATCAATTGAATTGACCGCAGGTGACTGCAATAAAGGTGTAGAAACATCTTGAAGATGATTAAAAGAAATCGGAGGAACCTGAGCTACATTTCAATCGCCATTGAAAATGGTCTTAATACTTATGGCAATGTGATATTTCAGTTTTTAAAATCTGTTTTCTTTTTGTCATCATGGGGTGTTGAGTGTAGATTGATGAGGAGAAATGTACATATATATATATTAGCATGAGGCTGCAGCATAACAAACTGAAAAAATGGGGGAACACTTTCCTATAACTAATATAATTTCTCATGTCACTCAAAAACATTTCCTACCTGTCCTTAAATCAGCCATCTTATGTGAACCTTTTCAGTTTTCATTTCGATAAGTGAATAATATACAGCGGTTATTTTGGATTGCCTTTGTCAAAGTAAGAACAGTACTGTGTCTGCCAATAATGGCGTTAGATGATGCATCCAAGTGTCAAGATTAAGTTGGAAAGTGTGACTAATGGCTAATGTCATTTCTATTATTTTTTGACAAGTAGGCGTCAGTAGTCACAATTTACTGAAGATATTTTACTCTGGAAAGTAGTCTGAACTCTTATTAGGCCGTTTTATTAGAAATGACCAAATAGTAACCCTTTGTATTCGCAAAATGACTTAAACGGGTTAATTTGATGCCTTTTACCTGGCAAGGCGAATATTATAGCTTCTGTTGTGCGCAGGAGTGCAGTTGTATACTACATTTTTAATCATTGGCTGCACTCCTACCCAAACCAGCATTGCTGGTTTGGGTAGGAGTGAACCTGTTTTCTTTTTTCCTCCATAAACGTGGATTCAGTGAAACACATATCGCAAGTAACCGGTCTAAAGAACATATTTATCATCAGCTTTTGTTTGTCTGTCCTTTAATTGCCAGATGTACAAGGTTAGGCCTACAGTGGATGCTGAAGACCGCGCTGCGCGTCAGAGGACAGAGGAGGGTCTGTTTGCGCGCTCCCGTGCGTGCCCACCTCCTGTCTGCCATCCGATCCTACCCCGGTCTATTCGCTGACTCAGTGCCTTAAGCAGCATCACCGTTCACCTGAACAGAGCTACAGCATCCCCTGCGGAGAAATACATCAGCCATGGCTAAAACAGCTACCGGTAAGCATGTTCAGGCTGGTCATATTATAACCGATGCATGGATGGATGTACGGATTGGATGTATGGATGGGTGGACTTGTGATTAGATGCAACCTTTCTGTGTCGGCCCCGGTGTAGTCTCCCGCCTGGTGGCCGTGCTTCTGTAAGGTCTCCATTGAGATTTTTTCTTTTCTTTTTAGAGATTAAAACGAAGGGAAATTGGTTCACTCACTTTGAAAATTCTCTATCGACTATTGGCCTATTGTCTCAGCATGAGTCTGGTAATGATAGCAAGGAAATGGGTTTACAAGCCAAGCATCCTCCGTCATAAGGCTCTTGAAATGTCTCCTTCATTATCCTCATCTATACGAATGTGTTTTTCCTCGTTTGATTTGTGATTATATTGTGAAACAGTGGATAATTAGTCGATATGCATCGCCCACAGACAGTTTTATTTACAACGCTGCACCTGCTGTTCATGCTACAGCGGCCCCAACATGCAGCATAATGCAGACGGACCCCACCCAAGATGCTGGGCTGCCCACCATTTAGCCGATAGCGAAGCTGAGAGGGCTTCATCAGTCTGACTTTTATATTACCTTGCCATAATTAAACCTAAACAGCTCCAACTGGTTATATAAAAACGTTTTTCTGTAACCTAGACGTGATTGTTTCATTGCTTCATCAATTTCTGATTTCTTCTTTTATTCATCTCTATAGCTTTTCTTATTTCTTACATGCCAAGGATGCATCACCAGCTGTGGCAGATGTGCAGTCTTTTTTTTATATAGCTAAAATAGACTATTGACATATGAAAAGTCTCCAATTTCAGACAATTATGTCTAAGAATGAGCACGCTGAACCTTATACTAACACATAATAACTAGACTGTATCATGCATTAGTCATCCCCTCTGATGGACAGTTATTGTTGTAGGCCAAACATTGCCATATTTGTTTCCATGGTATTTTTAGCCTCTGTGTGCTATCTAAAACATTTATGACATCTTAACATAAGCAAAGAATTTCGCCATTTTAAAATACAGTATGGCGTGCAGACTGGCTTCATCGTGGTGTGTGTGGTGGCAGAGATGTAGCGGAATAGACAGGTGCATGGCAGGGTGGGAGACAGGCCAGCCCTGCAGCAAGGGGCCGCTTCACACACTGGCCTTTGCAGCAGAAGGCTTAGCAGCCCTGACAATCTGTAGTCCTCTCTGAAGAGCCAGGTGGGCACTTTGTCAAATAGAGCATGGAAAAAGTGAGAGAATTTACAGTTAGATAAAAATAAATAATCAAAGGAACTGGTGAAAAGACATAGCAAAAAAAAAAAAAAAAAAAAAAAAAGTCGAGATCATTGATCCGCTGTATTTGACAGTCATGATACAACACTCAAGGTAGGAATAAAACAGATGTAAGTGCTGCTGATCTTTGTGGCCATTACACAGGACAAACAGCTGAGAATTCAACAGGACATTGAATAACTTGACTCACAGGTCTGTCTACACTGTCACTCACCTCATGCAGATTGCACTTGATATTGGACAGGGCATTCAGATTTTTTTTTATTGAAATACATCACAAATGTGTTATTATAACATCCAACGAGGTAACAGTAATGTCCCACTACCTCTACCAACAATGGTGCTGTTAGTACATGTGATCTATGTTTTATTTATGAATCTCTCTATTCATTTTTTCTTCTCCCTTTCTTGTTATCATCACTTTTATCATTCTTTCTCCTGTTGTCACAGATTGTGAGAGGAGGTTGGGTGGGGCTGTTACTGTTTATGATGTTTGTAATGTCCTTAACTATAGTCAAATTTGAATAAAACCATATTTAAAAAAGCAAAAGTAATGCTTCTTTGATCTTAACCACTCTTACAGAACACATTCATCCAAGAAATTATGAAGCAACATAGCATTTATGTACATTTTAGACTTTAGTCCCCATCATCATTAACGTAGTGGTTATTTCATGCTAATTGGTTTATTGAGCAATTGAGTCATATCTTAATCTAGAAATATCTCATGTGTATATATTCATTGTTTGTACAGCAATATTTGAGAGTGAGGTAATTTTAGCTGGGTATTCATTATCCTGGTTTTTTATTCATTGTCCTGTTTTTTTTGTGTTTCTTTTTGTTTTATTTGAGCAACACAGAGAGACTCACCCGGATGCTATGCTATGTGTTTGTGTTTCCACAGCATACAAAGAGAAGATGAAGGAGCTGTCTGTCCTCTCCCTCATCTGCTCCTGCTTCTACCCAGAGTCACGCAACAAGCTCATGTGTGAGTTTGAAGGTATGGATCAGCTCAAACATTGATTTTCTATTGGTTCAAACAAATTACCCCCATGGATGTTTTACCTGCCCTGTAAATACTGACACACGTAACAGTGATATTTTATTGGACTGATATATTTTATTATTGGGGATTGATTTTGCGGGTGTTGTCATTGTGATTGTTTAATTTACAGACATGGAGGTCAAACCTATAAACAAGCGGGCCTCAGGCCAGGCCTTTGAGGTGATTCTCAAGCCTCTGTCTCCAGTGTCAGATGGAGCTCACAACCTCCCCTCCCCCCCCAAGAGAGATATCTCTCTGGAGGACATTGAGAAGAAGCTGGAGGCTGCTGAGGAACGGAGGAAGGTGAATGTTTCACTTGTTTAAAATAGCTTTTGGTGTTTAAAATGGAGAAAAAAAATCTTAATGGACAATAAATAAATAAACCACTGAAGATGACTCAGTCATTGTATTATTTTTGCTGTGCATTTTTAGAACCAAGAATCCCAGGTGCTGAGGGCTTTGGCAGAAAAGCGAGAGCATGAGAGGGATGTGTTGCTAAAGGCCATGGAAGAGAACAGCAACTTCAGCAAGATGGCCGAGGAGAAGCTCCAACTGAAGATGGAGCAGATCAAAGAGAACCGTGATGCCCTTCTGGCAGCCATGATTGAGCGTCTACAGGAGAAGGTGAGAAATTCAGAATTGTTGTCACATGTCTGCACGAAAAAAGCACAAAGGGCCGAGTCTGACGTGTCGATCGGAGACTGTGAACTGTCCTGACGGCTAATTACTCTCTGTTGTTGTGGTGTTTTCAGGAGAGACATGCAGCTGTGGTGCGCAGGAACAAAGAGATGAGGGAAGAGCTGACAGCATAAGCCTCACACAAGTCCTGACTTCCATGGTCCATTTTACATCCCTTCATCCAGTCCTTAACCCTTTCTCGCCCCTGCCCTCACCCTCCTCAGAACAGACACCCAACCCTGGAGGCCGAGAGGTTCGAGGACCTCACCACCACATCACAACACACCACACCACCAGTACTCACTACTATCAGTATTATCAGTCAATACAAAAATCAATAACACTCATCTTGAGAATTGAATGGATTTGTTGATTTTGGAGAAAGTGCGAGAATATGGCTTTTGTTTTGTAAATACTTTTTTTCCAAATCTCTTTCTTTCTCTCTAGCCCTCTCTCTCTCTCTTTCTCTCTCTCTCGCTCTCTCTCTCTTTCTCTCTCTCTCTCTCTCCCTCTCTCTATCTATCTATCTATGATGGTAGGTGAAGTACATAAAAAGATCATACTGTACTGCACTGTACAATTTCAAACATTTAGTTTGTCATTGATTATTGTTTCAGTTCTTGAAATTTGACTCTACAACCATTTTCTTGTGAAAGCCCTCGGTGTTGTGAGTTGGCTGTGGACTGACATTTGCAGTTGTTTCCTGATGATGTCATGATGATGATGTTTCTGTGTCTTTGTGAAGAATGAAGGTTGGTGTACCTAGGCCACACACTCCTCAAGATATCAACGTAATCCCATCTGTATCTTCCTCACGCACACCTTCTCAATCTCAACACGCACGCTTGGAATTTAACAATACGCCAAAACCCACAGTTTGATAAAGTGTCCACTTCCTCTGAAATGAGCTTGATAATGGACTTGAGAGGTGCTTTATTGTAATTAAGAATGTCTTTGCCCAATGGGAGCAACTGTTTATACACTTGCAGATTCCCACTTACCCTGACAACGCCATTTCCCAATGAATCCATCTACAGCCAAAATCAAAAGCTCTGTTTCATACACAGTTTTTGGGGATTAATCTCTTGAATGTTATGACACCATACTGGTACCATGCATAGTGTCTTGGACAGTGGAATGTGCTGTTGCTCCCACCTTGATATTGATAGTGAGAACATAACGTATGTCTGTGTGGGTGTATGTGAATGCGAATTTACCTTGAGGCATCATTAGCGTCTGCTCTCTTTAGCGGATTAGATAGAGAATGGATGCAGGATGCTTTACATTCAGCACACTGAACTAGTCTCTTTTTAATATACAGTACCACTGATATCTGCCTGCATCCTCTGCTGCTTGTGTTTCTCCCTTCATATATTTCTCTGTGAAAGCTTTGCTGAATAAAGGTTTGGGGTTCTGTGAACATGGCATGCACCATCTAATAATTTTCTGTGCTAATGAGGAGGGAAAATGTAAACTGCCAAATAAAAGAACCAGTTATCTACACATCCTGAGAATCACAGTCTTCCCCTAGTTGAGTTTTCATTTATGTTCATTTAATTGTTCATTTGTTTGGAATTTTATCTCATTTTTGGCATAGTTAAAAAGAAGCATATGTATATGGAGTGGAGTCCAAAAGTCTGAGACCACTATCACAGTATAATAAACATAATATATAATCAACTCACTGTAAAACAAATCCAGGATCAGCCGTCGGCCATGACGAAGACCGAAGAAATGTGATGTTTCTCCAGCAGGTGGCAGTGGTAGATTTATTTTGGCCAAAGACACCAAACTGCAGTCCATACCTCATGAAAAGTAGGGCAAAAGTTCACAATATTCCAAATGCAAATACGGAAGAAATATAATAACAAAAACACTGAGTTTGGATCTGAATCTGCTGGATCATTTATATTTCATCTACTTTTGAGAATCACAAGGATTTGGAATTTAAATAGCAGCTGCGTTCAGTGGGGAGTGTTTGTGTCATGCATTAGCACTCAGGACATCAAATACAGACACTTTTGTATATTGTGATTTCAACTGACTGATATCTAATTTCGCATAGGAAGACGATACACTTCATTTATTATTAACAGCATGTGGCTCACGCCCTTAGGGACCGACTCGCAGACAGCGGCTGCCCCTCCTGGAAGCCTGAGGTGTTGCATGGACGGATTAAATTGAGTCATTAAAACCAGTGAACCCCTTAAAAAACTGTGTCACTAAGATTGGGCCAGGAACAACACCTCAGAGCTGAGCAGTGATTTATTGGTCCAGCTGTCAGTGTGTTGTTGTTACTTTTTAACCGCTTTCCTCCAATGTCCCCATCCTGTTCACACTATTGTCTCCGTTTCAGACCAACCCAAGCTGGTGAGGTCAGGGCAACATTGTAAAGGATTTCCTCTGGCTCTTAATGATTTCCTGGGTATTCATAAGGGCAACAATGCTCTCGGATTTGGTTACTTACCTGGCACATAGTAAAGGAATCGCCTTTCAGTTAATAACTGAGACCTTATTAGCTTATGATTAACTTCTATAGGATTGCAACAAAAATGTACCCGCAGATCATAAATATGGTCTTAATCACAGGGCAGGTAGTCTGCTTGCATATAGGAGAGTGTAGCATGAATATAGAAAGAAATAGCCACCCATATATGAAAACAAAACATTCTAGAGAGCTAGAGGAGGAAATGCAACAGAAACAAAGAGTTTGGTTTAAACTTTGTTTGTTTTATACTTTTAAGCTCAATTTATTGGTCCAAAAAAATATTACAAATAGATACAAGAATGCAATACACATTTCCAGTTCTCAAGTGGTTAGTTTTCCAACGATGGCACATACAATATGCATATTCTTTTCCACAAATTCTGACATCGCTAAAGCAGCAGACCGAATTGAGTAATTCTACATCTTATTAAATACAGACGTCTGTGCTTGACAAATGTAGAAGTTTCAGTATCTGGTCTACAAAATATTACCAATAAATTTGTGCTTACAGTAAATCTATGTATGGCCCATACGTCATATCACTCTATCAGTCCTCAAGCTGGAGACAGTGCATGTTCACTAAATTAGTTATCCATTTAAACTAGTAACAAAAATCCTTTAGTAATGACATACTGAGCGGAAACGACATCCTTCAGCAACCTCCTCCACTTATTCTTTATACTTAATAAAATAAATTCATTCTGTTTTGTTCCACTGTGTTTTATTGCTATAAAAACAGATGAGGCAGGTTGTCCTGCCAAGTCTGTGGTGGTGGGCACAGCTCAGCTGTTGCCTTCAGTCCAGTTGTTAGCTTCAGAAGGCCCCAATCTCCGTGCCCCAAGGCCTGTAAGGCTTTGACAGGGTGGAGGAGGGGCTCACCGTGCTGAGGGCCGTCGGGGAGACGAGAGGGAAGGCACTGAAGGAGAGGGGGAAGGCCGAAAGCGAGGAGAGGGATGAGAGGAGTGGTGGCGAAAGCTTAGATGTTGGCACAGGCAGATTGAGGGGCAGCGAGCCGTTGGGAGAAACCCTGAGGGACTCTGTGGGGGGCATGACACTGAGTCTGGATGTCCCAGATGCCTCACTGGAGGAGGAGGAAGATGTAGAGGAAGAAGAGGAAGAAGAGGAGGAGGGTGGGCTACTGTTGCTTCTGGTTGCAGGTGTCCTGCCCTGGGGGTGTTGTAGGAGGAGGGGGTGGGGGAGATGGGCAGGGGCACTTCCATAGGCAGACCCCCAGGCCAAGTGTTCCAGTCCAGTGTGCACCTCCCTCTGAGAGGCGTAGCTGCTGAGGTGGGACACCAAGCGTACACGGAGGGGGTCTGTACTGTCCCGACCCTCGATGATGCTAAGGTAGCGAGCGGTCTCTGCCAGGCACTCCCTGAAGCCCAGGCTGCGGTAATCCTTAGCAAGAGCATGAGCCTCAAAGTAACCTGTCAGGGAAGAGAGCGGAGTCAGAGGTTAGAAACATGTGGTTCAAAGCATATTTTATAATCATGAATTATGTATGAACGAACTTACTTTTATTAACCAAAGACAAAAAAGGTGCAGTTACCTTTGCCACCAGATGCATGAAGCATCTTCAAATGGTCCACAGTCATTTGCAATATTTCTGCTTTTTCCAGTTTAGCTGATCCCTGTGAAGACAGAGAAAAGAAAGAATAGTTTTACTCTTCATGAAATGAATGGGGTATTTCCCATTAGATCTGTATAGGCAAATGTGCCTCTACTCATAAGATAGGAATGGAAGTATAACCAATGTACCTGTTTCTCAAAGGCACTTGGCACCAATCTCCTCAGTTCTGACAGACTGTTGTTGATTCGGTCACGTCTCCGTTTTTCAATGATCTGTTCAAAAAAAAAAGAAGAAACAATGTAATAAAGGTCACAAATAGAAAAAAAAACAATGGCGTGTATCAGTGCAGCACATGATGAGTTTCCTTACCCCTCTGCGTCTTTTTCTTGCTTGAACTTGGGTGGTAGTGGAGGGTGACATCGAGCCGTGAGAATCAATTTGTCTGAAAGGTAAAGCAGCAATAAATAATTTTTTGTTATTGAACAATGGCAAGATAACAAATAGAAATACGCGTCAAATAAAGTTGAAATGTTGCGGTCAGTTAATCCATATTCTGCCTCAGAATATGATATGATAATTATTTAGAAAAAGAAGTTAACATACCCATTTTCGTCGCCGCTATCTTTCTCCACCTCAACATTGTCGTCCAGCTCGCTGTCCGATGAGCTGTAGTTGTGGCTTCGCTTCATTTTTCTTTCACACAGCCTGCAGAGATCAGAAGACTCCTCGCAGAGAAAACTCCAGCGGTGCACTGACACCAGAGCGTCTGTGCAACAGTTTAAACGTCAGATCTGCTTCTGCTGGGATTATTTTCACACCGCGGAGAGGGGGGCGGGGTCCCCCGATGGTGTGGGCGGTGCCCGAAACGATTCGAGCCTGTTAAAATCCAGATGGCATTTGAGTGACACGTGCTTTGAAAATAATAGTAATGAGGAAAAGACAATAAAAAAAATCAAAAAATCAATGAAACAAGCCCAACATTTCAGAGAGGAAAGCTCCAGTGAAGATGTTGAGGCCCATGTTTGAAATGTTTTCAATTGATATCGAATGCATCATTTTCGCAGAATGCATTTAGAACTTGATATTCAAAATGTTTCTTGTGAAGAGCGCTGAGGTTGGTCCTTTTCTCCTGTGACAGCTCAGGCTGGCTGGTACACTCCTGGCCTCAGGTCCCATAGTTTCCCTGCTGGGACCCTAGTCCGTGAGCAACAGGCCCCATTATAGTGGGAGCCCTCTTCTTCTTTGGTGTTGTGGAGGACACACGGCCTATTAGCAGAGTGTGTTGTTCATTGTCTGCTGTCAGCTGTGTGGTTCCACAGCGGCACTGATCAGCCGGGAGGCCCAACATTAGTCAGTCAGTGTTGCCAGGCTCTCCTAGGAAACACCCACCACCACCCCTCTCTCTCTTCCACCTCCTCCCCAACTGACTGGCACAGGGAGACCTTCCCAGGGAATCATTCATCCACTGCGGGTGAAAACAGTGAACCTCGCTCTGCTCTGCTGTGAAACAGAAATGTTTTTAGAAGCTTGAGCTAAATGCAAACACAGATGGACGCTTTGCTTCTGAGCTACATTAAAACAAAACAACCAAGCCTACGTTGGCATAAGCGGCAAAACATATATGCGGCTCACTCTGGATAGGGAGCAAGGGTGGTCTGCAGAAGGTGTGATAATTTTGACCCTTTTAATACGCTTGGGTCAGAGGTCAAACTATATAAAAACACGGCAGCTTTCATTGTTTATGTTCCACTGTGTAACTGATCCCTCCTGGCTCTTGTTCTAGTCTGTATTAGGGAGAAATACATAAATATATATACAGATATTTCTGCCTTTATGTATATATGTATTTATATGTCATTCAAGGCAAATATTTTAATAAGTGTGTAATCGCAAATTAACACAACTTTCATTTTAAGTTACATTAAGTTTTAATAGGTTAAATGAGTAGATGTTAGTCATTGTCATTGCAACCAAAAGTTGTATTTAGTCTACTGATGAAACCATAATAGTTCAAATTATTTCCATCCTAGGCTACTCCCACTCCACTCCAGACTACATTTATCATAAATACTTCTTATTTTGCAGATTCGGATTTTACATAGCCTATTAAACATATATCCCGTGTATAAAAGTAGTTAATTTAAACCATAACCCTCCACATCATTAAATTATTTCTCACATGTTTTTGCATCAATATTAATGATATAATAATCAGTCAATCATTCACAGAAGCCATTGAGCATTATGACTACCTTTATTTTTGATACTTTACTTTTACATAAGCGAAAGATCTGACTCTTTCTTCCACCACAGCCCTCATATTCTGTAAGTTGACATTTAAAATGCATAACACTATTACTATAAAAACAGCAGTCACATGTCAGTCTTTTCTCTCTGTCAGGAATGCAAGGTCTGGGAAACGACAGAACTTGAGGCTGGGATAATTCCTGCATTGAGTCTGACATGTCTGGTAAGGCCATCAGTGGGAGCGTGACCCCCCCCCCCCTTTGCTGTCTTCCATTCCAGTACCTTGTAGAGGAGCAGCTGTTTCTCTGCTCTGTCCATCAGGTCAGTTGTTAACTTGGTGCGTTGGGAGCTGGACAAGTGCGGATGAGAGCTTGATTCCGGGGAGCAACTGCAGGCCAACACGCTGTTCCCAGAATGTCAGAGGGGTTACAGTGGTGACAGATACAATGTGCAAGCTTCAGTCATTCTGTTGATGCAGAGAGTGTGGATGAGCCTTCACACTATCACTATATACACACACACACACACACACACACACACACACTGATCATTGACCCCCCCCCCCTGACAGCACGCACTCTCACTAAAAATCATGCCTACCTTCACCCACTTTGTGCATTTCTACACTCACATGCTCGCACTCGGTGGATTTATAGACCTTAACATGTGCATAATCCAGTGCTGAAAAACACGCGAGGCCTGCATACTCCCTCTCTGGACAGGATTTCACATGAAGTCATGTGTATTGCTCTTCACTCCAGAAATATTTTGTGCTAGTGGGACAGATTTGGACACGGATACCAGTTAGATCAGTACAAGCCCTCCCCTTGCTCTTTGACTAAACCATACATGGCCTCTCCGTGACACTCTGCTGAATGGCAGCTTGAGTATATTCAGGATCACTTCAGTATTGTTTATGATACTATTATGGTAATAGGACTCTACACGTCCACCGGGTCGACGGGACAGGCAGGTTGACATGTTCTCCATTAAGCAGACACAACCCACACTCCTCACACCTGACTGTCAAGGTCCCTCACATTAGCGCTGACATTGCTGTGGTCTATTAAACATAATTAAGATTCTTCATCCAAAAACCTTGACTTTTCACCCGTGGCATCACAGCTTTTTCTCAGCCTCCAACCCAGTTGACTTTTGAAGAATTTGGTTATAGATCCTATAAAATTTCCTCTCCTATTTGAGTGTGTTTGATTTGAGCTCATTTGTCTGTGATTGCCCTGTTTCTCTGTATTATTTTTTACATATAATAACTTGACAAGCATGCCAAACTGCCTGTTGACCCTGTTCCTAACTTGGTACCAATTTGAAGAAACTACTCGCAAACCAGTGCCAGGAAGCTAAGAGGTATAAGCAAGCATTTGTTTGAAACTGGCGTGTGCCCAGCTGCCTTCCTCAATCTTCCCTTAGGTTTCCCTTGGTGACTCTTTGTGTGCAAGAGTGCGGCCTGATTGTGTGCTGGTGTGTCTGCATGTGTTTATGTGTGTGTTGACCGAGAGTGTGCGAGTGTGTTTAGGAGGTGCTGTTTCCCACAGCCCTGATCTAATTCCGTGGTAACTCAATCTCCGTGTGAGCGCTTCCCGGCGAGTGTTCTCCCACCCGTCGACAGTCTCTCTCTGGCTGGCTGAGTGGCTGAGTGTGTCTGACAGAGGCCGGCTCAGTCCCATTGGACCCCAACCCGCCCCCACCCCCCCGTTCCCCCTCACTCCACCTCCGTCCTACCCACCCTCCCATCAGGATTGATTTACTATGTCAACCGTTGGGGCTGTCGGCAGCAGCGACGCTCGCAGCCGTGCCTGCATCCTGTGTGCACACCATCCTGACATCTTATACCTGTCATTCAACAACTGCTGCAGTGAAGTTTGCATTTGGGTGTGTGCGTGTGTGTGTGTGTGTGTGTGTGTGTGTTGAGGGGGAGGAGTTGGGGTGAAAGTGGACATTTGTGTGTGTGAGATCATCCCTTATCTATGTTTTATTCAGATAGAGTGGAGGGTGCATAAAAAATAGTATGAACTTTGCTGCATGTGTACGTACATGAGCTATGGCATTATGTAAGAAAATGCCACCCATGCTGTCTGACTGAGGGAAATGTCTCCCACACAGCTTCCATACAACAATGTTATCCTATGGGCCACAGCTTCCTGCCTGTCCCCTCTGGTTCCAGTCAGCACCCAGGCGCTATATTGGGCAGGGACCAGACCAGGCCTGAGACCCAATCCCACAGTTTGACCGTAATACACCCGCCATCTCATTCTTTACTTTCCTGCCTTTGTTGGCATGCATTCTCCTTGTGCTTTTGGATAGGTAAAGCCAGAGAGGATATGCTGACTTCCTTGTTTCTTTGTTTAGCAGGAGCTTTTTTTGTAAATCCTTTTTTCTTCTGAGGATAGCTCTTCAGGTCATAATACTGACACCAGGATCTCTGCACCGGCTGCCAATTACAGGGCTCAGAGTCAATTACAGGGCATAAGCAGCATTTTGAAAAGAATCAAACAATACTTTGAACTCTGACATGGACAACTTTATGTGCTGGCTTGAAATAGATAATAAAAAAAAAACTGTGACCTGAGTCACAACCTGAATAAATGAAATATATTCCATCCCTTTTTCCATAATGGTGCACACTCAAGCACAATGGCCCCGAACTATTATATTGTTCATGAGGTTTACAAGAATGCTGCCCATTACCAGTTAACTTATGCAAGCCCACAATAGAGGGAAAGCAGATCATAAGACTGGTTCCCAAATAAGCGCAACAGGAGACAGCACGTGATGTTGACACAGAGAAAGGAGGACCACGGAGCGAGCTACTTTTAAGGCCACACATTGTGTTGCCACAGGAAAAACATTGTTTGCATATCAATGGAGTGTGTGTCTGTGTGTATATGTGTGAGGTAAGGCGGAGGGGAGTTTGGGGCTCTAATTGAAATGTATCTCCTGGTTTACATCACGCAAAGGGAATCTCACAGGCACCGGCCATATGAATTATTAGTTAAGCTGCAGAAAAGTTAAAATGGCTTCGTTCTGCAGTGTGTGTGTGTGTGTGTGTGTGTGTGTGTGTGTGTGTGTGTGTGTGTGTGTGTGTGTGTGTGTGTGTCTGCACTGACATGATTGGTCACTGCCGGGGGAAATCTGTGTTGTAAAGCAGGTCTGTCTCTGAGGATCAACTATCATGCTATGAGTAACTCCTTTACACTGCCTCTGAAACCTAGGCCAAGGCTGTTGGTGGGTTATGCAAGGTTTGTTATTTGCCTGATGCAATTTGGAATAAAATCTGATTAGTGACTATAGCAACTAATATTTTTAGACAGAAGAGAGAAACAGAAAAAAGAGACAATTTACGGTGTGTCACAAGTTTATCAAAAAAAAAAAAATGCTCTCTTTTTTTTTTTTTTTTTTTTTTTTTTTTTTTTTGTGAGCCGGCTCCTTTCCCAGTGGATGCTCTGTGCCAGCTGTCTGCGCTGCAGTAAAGTACTGCTTTCCCAAGCTCCGACCTG